TTTCGCCTTGGGCCTACACCACAGAATTCTGTCCCGTATAGTGTGGTGCACGAAATCCTCTCAACGTACAAGCTACAGTATTACACAGAGCTTTCCTCGCTACCATCGCGGGAAGACGAGCACAGGATCGCCTGCGCAACTTACACCACACTATGGAAACCGAAGCCTTTCCCTCGCGCTTTCTATCCGGACCGGCGTCGGTCCCCGTCTTTGTGGCCGGTCGTGCGGGCACTGTGACCATCAGCAGCGATGGAGACGGATGACGCCCGTCAGACAGCCGAGCAGTCAGCCCCGCTTCGAGATCAACCCTTTCCCTCGTCTTTCTCTCGATCAAGCACAAGCCCGGCCCCACCTTATCAGAGCTCGGCATATTTCGCTGCATGGAAGGCTTCCCGGAAAGGCTTCCAGATCGCCGCGGGACGATTAGCAAGGTTCTGACTTTGGGCTTTGACGCTGTGGTGCTGTTTAACAACTCCCCCCTCCAGCCTCCAGCGCGTGTTGCGCAAGCCAAATAAAAATAAAAATAAAATAAAAACAAAACAGGGAGCTGGGCAGTGCAGTAGCCGCCGTTGCAGTCCCCCCCTCTTCTCTTCTCCGAGACCAGCTAGGCCGCTTGAGATCTTTGTTGATAGTCAAGTGCTTACTCGAGGCGCCATCAGGAGGGGGCTGACACATATGACAGCGTTATCACAAACATTGGGCTGTGTTGTCTGTGGATAAAGCCCGATTGTCTCCTAATAGAACTCCACGGTTGGTGCCTTACTTGGCTGTGATAGGTCGCCGAATTTCTGTTCAGCTCGCGATTTTTGTTGATCTTATCCGTATCCTCACGATCTCAAACAACGAACTCTTCTCTCAAAAAAAAAAAAAAAAAAAAAAAAAAAAAACAAAGAAGAAGAAGAAGAAGTAAGAGAAGAGAGAGAGAGAGAGAGAGAGAGAACGAGAGAGAGAGAGACGACACGACGTACGTACGTAGTACGTACGTACGGTACGGTACGTACGTACGGTACGACGTACGGTACGTACGTACGGTAACGTACGTACGTACGATACGTACGTACGAACTGGTCGTACGACCTAGTTAGGTACGTACGTANGNACGTGANCAGNTNNNTGANNNAGAGAGAGAGAGAGAGCCAACTCGATAACTTGGCGATTGCTTCGGGTAGCAGGGAGGGTCCGTCCTTGTCTTGTCGTCTCCCTCTGCTTGGGTTTGACGACTTGTGGTCTCGCTCCTGCAAAACCCACTGGCGCCGAGCCCCAGGAGCCCGCGAAACACAACCGGACGCAAGGCAAGTATGATTCGCATGCGCAGTCGGTGATGCTCGATGATGGGTGGTTGTATCGCCTGTGTTGTGTCCTGTTTCCTTCTCTTACACAACACCTTGCACTACCCTACCACACTACCTGCCAGGGAGAGAAGCGAGCAGTCTGATGTTAATGTGTTCATGTCTGTATGTGGAACCCTGTGGGTGCAATATGTCGTGTGTCCTCCGTTCTGCTGTGTGTTCCCGCACCACATATACACACATAAACGCACGACAGCCTGCTGCTGTTACCATAAAGGAGCCAAATTTCACCCCGATACGGGAGAAGTATCGGCTTGGCTGGTGTGTGTGTACGATGCACTCGAACGTTCTTTGGGAAGTCTTGACACCCGGGCCTCCTGCTCCCTTGCCTTTTGTGCAACCCGGGGCAGACACTGGGAATGGAATGGAATTCTTCTTTCTGTGCTACTGTCTGTCTGTCATCTTCGGGAAGGGGAAGAAACGAAACGAAACCAAGCCAAACCAAACCAAACGATGTTGAGGGCTGAGGTAGTAGCACCCTGATCTTGGGTTCCCTTTGACCAGACCCTGAACTTTTGCAGAATTTTTTTTCTACTCGAGATTCTTGCGCCCCACGTATCAAGGGGACACGGAGCTTACCTTGGATAACGTTAGATCTACGGTACGGAGAGCTAGAGTTGTGCGAGTAATCGCTTCCGCACTACGCTAACTGCCTAGGGTCGGAGTTATCTCTAAGTGGCAAGCAAGGTTGACGTTATCCGTAACGTGAGCTCCATGGAGGAGGAATTGGAGACCAAATATCAGGTGCATATCAAAAATCGCCTCCCATATGTCCGGCCTGGTGGAGGACGTCAGATTTCGCTCGACTATGGCGCGAATGAACTGCTGACAGAGGCAAATTTTTTACACGACAGCAGAAGGAGGCTGACAAAGCTTGCAAGGACGATTGTAAGTGCAAAAGCGCTATTTTTTGGCTCTCAGACATCCAGGGGGTCATGTCATCTTTGGACTGAGGCAACGACAGCGCACGATGACAGGGACACTCTGACAGCGACGGAAAGCTCCTCCTCGAAAGTTCAGCCCATTTATTGCCCATCGGGTTTGTCGCTCTGCTTACTCAACACTTACATTACTCGGAGCTCTCGCCAATGTTGTTAATGACCTTGAGGGGGCCGGTGGCACAGACCATCGTGGCTCAGGTGTGAGCCAGCTCGGCAGCGTGTCAGAAGTTTCCCTTCATGCGGCCCTTGCACTTGCGCCTGCAGTTCCCTAGCCGCTTTTCTTTGGGGTTCGGTATGGAGTGGCTCCCGCGCCTACACTGCCATGCGGAGTATACATACACTTAAGTGTGGGAATCTTTCTTGAACGATTATTCCCGGTCAGAGTGAATTTCTTGATAAAATTGAGAGACTAGGAACTGCATGTCTATTGCCCACTTTGTTTTAATCCCCGGTCCCATAAATGCATAATGCAAAGAGGATAAGCTACTACGTAGCGGCACTTGCTTCTGTGTGTATGCCGCCTTTGCTGTGGCCCGTGTGCTCTTGCGTTGGCGATGTTTATGCGTTCCAGAGCGCCGGGGAAGAGCTGGCGGCCTGGCCTGCCTAGCCTGGTTGCCCGCTGCCGTTCGTCAAGAGGGGATTAACACTTGATGTTATATGTAGCTTAAGGTGGCTTTCCCCCGCTTTCTTCCCGCATGTACGACCTACGTACCAACCTTGCCGTACCGTACATACATACATGATACACGCCGTAGATATAGATAGATTGCAGGTGGATAGGTATTGTGGTAGTTGCGTCTCTTGTTGACAGTTCGCAAGATACGATAGCAAGGACAGGCCGGCTTGGTTGACTGGATGAAATGCTACTGATCTCCATCAAGTCCTGACCTGGTCTGGTCGAGGTACCTAACATGGTTCTCACAACTCCCCTGACATTTGACGTAGTCAGCGGGTAGGAACCGCGCACACTGTAGATTCCATTTATTTTTTTTTTCTCTCTTTAGCCCCGGTCATCGGCGCAAATGCGTCTGTTGACAACGATCACAAAAACCGCCTATCACCAACAACCAGAAAGAGGGGCAGTGGAGAGCCGAGAAAGAGGTAGTGAGAGTTTGGCCGAGGGTGAATGAAAGCTCACGTCCCATCCGAAGTGGGCCACAACAGGCTACAGCCACTCCGTGTATGGTCCTGAGGTGACATTTTCGCATCCTAACAAGCGAGCGAGCCTTTTTTTTAAGGTGTTGCTCGGAACTTGATGAGAGGGGTCGGAATGTAGTTAGTGGGCGGTAGGGTAGGAAGCGGGATGATGCGATGTGATGCGCTGCGGAGCGATGCACGGCAAGGCAAGGCGAGGTTAGGTAAAACTGCGTGCAGCCGAGCGATGGAGGGGATGGGCGTTAGGCAGGGACAGGGCCTTTTCGACGTTTACAGTGTTAGGCAAGCGAGGGATGACAGTGCCAGAGTTGAAATGGCGTGAGGTATGTTGACTTCGAGATCTTAGACAGGGAGCAAGAGGCGAGAAGTTGAAACACCTTTCCGGGGACCCAAAGTGATTAAAAACTAAGGGAATATCTGTTTAAATTGAAGTAGAGTTGATGTATAATATGATACTGTTCAACTTGAGACTTCGTCTGGCCTTGTTTTGTAATAGTTAGTACCAGGAAAAATAAAAAGTGTTTCAAAAGCTGGAAGTTATGATGAAGTTTGTGCAAATAATGAGATCATGAAGGCAACCTCAGTGGGAGCCCTACGAGTCATCAGTTTTTGTTTACGGGACCAGTCTTCGTGGTACGTCGAACTGACCGTCGACGAATGTATCAACATGTCCTCTGCTACCTGGTCATTCCTGCGTTTCACGATCGGTGTTGCTTCATAACATCAGATGAGATGTACAGAACTTCAGATTGTTTCGAGTCAATGACGCATGGAGTCAGGGCTATTGTTAAGACTACCATTTGACCCATGATGTACCTAGCCCACATACATGAGGAATATCTTGCAGTGGTCAAAGAGTCAATTTAAGGATATACAAAAATGGAATGATAGGCTAAAATGAGGACTAGGCTGCGGTTTAAGCAAAATGGATCCAAAACCTCAGCAGGTCAATACGAACGACTACGAACTCTGCGTCAATGTCGCGAGCAAAGTTGGCGGCTTGTTAAAACTCCTGTCTTGACATCATTGAACTCCACCGGGAGAAGAGATCTTCTAAGCCAAATGTAGATCAAAATCTAGAACAAATATTGCAAGGCAACCAAGCGCAACAGACACATCTAGATTCAAAGTCAACTCCAGTCAATGATTCAACACTCTGAATATATGAAATAATGACACATCTGATACAATAAGCGGTGGCCTAGATTGAGTAACCGTGAATACTCAGCTAACGTTGGGCGTCAAACGTATGGAGCTTCCTTTATGACATTTTTCAAGTCACGCTGGTATTTTCGTTGTGTAACTCTATATGCTCCTTGACTCCAATATTCATTTTCGAGAACACCATCGCAAAACTCAGACAGCCAAATCTATGAGGAAATACCTGACGTCACGACTGGCCTGCTTCAGACAACAATTCAACAGTACTGGCCGTTGTATGACATCCAGCGGTTGTCCGCTCCCATAAGTCCTGTCGCAAGTATTAAGAGATGTCCACCCTTCGAGACTTGAGCTGGGGGCTAAGTTGCCTTTCCATTGGAGACAACGTGGAATAATGGCCTTTCAAATGAGCTCATGCAACATCCGCCTTGGGGGATCTGTCTTGCACGCCGACTGTAAGAACACTCCAGGTGACTGGATCAAGACTTCTCTCGATCTCAATGAGCATATCGGCAATCGCAATGGTAGATTCACCCTCTGTGACCGGGATTGGTATCACAGTGCGCGCAATGTACAGCTTATTGGGTCCAAACTGAAAGCAGAGCTAGCAAAGGAAGGAGGAGAGGAATGGGTTGAATCCATCCTTGACCTCAACCTTTGTGTGGAAAATAAGGAGGGCTACCTCAAGTTCCATAAACTGTGAGTCATCTCCCCAATTACCTTGATTCTCCATTAGGCTTTCACGAAGACCTGATGTTCAGGCAACAAAGTTTGCATTTAACAACTAACTGTTAGCTCTTGCGAAGGGACGATTACCTGTTTAACCGGGGATCATGCTTCTCCTTGGTGGGACCGGGAAGAGTAGCGCTGGGAGGTATCTGCATGGGTCTCGATGGACTCCTCCATTTCGACGAGAGCAATCTCAATGAGTGCTATGAAAATGACAATGGCTGCCTTCGGCCAGGCCGGCATTTTGCATATAGCTGCAACAGCTGGGATATTGAAATAGCCCCTCCAGCACTCAACCTTGTGGTCATGTGCCGTGGAAATCACTGGCTTTCTGGCGATTTTGAGAGAAAGAGTTAAGACCGATTTGACATACGACATCTTTATTCGCGACGGCCGTTTTGTATATGAGAGACAGTACGCTCAGCCCTGTGTGTCTGCACGTTTTCAAAATCTTTTGCAGATGCTGATAAATATGCAGTTCTGGATTTTGGGATCGAGATGGGTAGTTTGCTCATTTCTGGGAGTCGGTCCCAGTTGTGGGCTTCATCATCGCTGCCGTACATGTGGCAACAGGCAACGAGGTAGGTGTGATGAGCTGACAGTGACCTTTGACCGTGACAATTTATTAAGCTTCACTTGGGACAAGCTTTGTTTCTGATGCATGACTTATAGGAACATGCTTTGCGAGCTTTGGCCCGATGTGCCAATTCCACTATTGTCACCGGCGCCATTGTCATCGTGACCTGTATTGGCGGCCCAATGGGGGCAGCAATTGGAGCAGGGTTTGCCACACCTATAGGAATCCTCACTGAACAAATCCTCCGTGACACCATCACGGACCCACGAATCCTTGCTGAAATTGAAGAGGCCACAATTGGCCGTTACCTCTTTGATACGATCGTGAACGCCATATCCGCAGGGTCTGCTGAATATGTCAGCAAATTCCTAGGCAATCTTGCAAAGGAGATCACGCCTGAGCTCTTGAGCAAGATCTCTGAGCTGATGAAGCATAGTGTCAAATTTTCTTCAAACAAGGCGGTAGATGATCTCATCAAAAAGTTTGAAAAACCGTTTCCCCCCCCCCCACTGATTACTGTTTAGTCTTGACCAGGACTAACTACTTGGTTTATGTTAACAGGCTGAGTAAAGCCGTGGAGGAAAATGTGCTCCCCAAGGAGTGGCTCCTCAGAACCCAGCAAGTTGCAACGCTTATTGGATACGATGCGTTTACTGGACTTGAGAAGCCACCTGGCCTCGAGATTGGCAATGTGCATGAGCAGTACCAGAAGCTCGATGACTTTAAGGATATGAAAGTGCTTACACCGCCCATTGAGGTAAACACTTGCGGAAGCGCTTTTGAGTGTCATCATGCAGTTATTCCAATGCGACTGGTGTCTGCCTAGCAGAGCTAGGTAACTACGAGGCATGGAGCCGTCAGCAGAGAAAACAAATTTGTTGATCTCTGGAAGAGGCAATCTTAAAAGTTCATTTTTCAGACTTTAGTCAGGTATGCAGTTTTGCAGGAAGGTGTGCATGATTGATCATATTGGATAACAATAAACAAGGCTCAAGGAGTCCATGTCAGTGGCGAAAAAGTTTTGCAGGATATTCAAGCAATAGAACACAGAGTGGTAGCCTATTATCAACTCAAAATAATGGTTGAGGGTTGAGGACATGTTGTGTGCACAAAGTGCTTGCGAGTTTGGGAGACCTTGAGTAAGGTTGGATGGATGTCGATGTGAAGTGACGTTTGCCGCTGCGTGGTGACATTGCAGCACGTGACCTCGTGTTGTCTTCCAGGCAGAAGCCCGTGGCAAGGGAACGGTTGTTCCGCAACAACGCGACCTGTGCTTGCTTCCTAAGGTACATTTCATGACCTGCACTTTGTTCTGCTCTGGCATTGCCCTTTCAGATTCATTCAACATTTATCTGTGTCTGATTCCATTCGCATTGGGTACATGTTCCCAGTCTACTACCATGCTGGCCTAAAAACATTGTTTTTCTAAATCACCAGCTTTCACAATGCCTGCCCCTCCCAAGTCAAATCACCCTTTGGCAGAGCCGCGCCTTTGCCATGTGTTTGACCCCTGGAACTCAGCATCAACAGGCCACCAGCTTGCCGAAGGTCAAAGGTCCCAAGGCTGGCGCGATATCCGTAACTTCCAATTGAACAAGCAGTTTGGGGCAGACGTAGGAAAGCTCTCAAATAACCAGCTAGGCAAACTTGTCTCGAGTCTCAAGCACGACGCTCCAGCTCGGCCCGGCAGGACCGTTGCTGACATGTTACGCAACCCAGGGACCATGCTAGTAGGCCCCAGCACCTCCAAGAAGCCATCAACATCATCTTCAGTCCCAGAATTAGTCCCGACAACCCTCCGCCCCGGTCCAATCTCTCTCACCAAGCCAGCCACGAACGACCAGAAGAAGCCCCTGACAGCCGAAGATCATCGCTTCGCCCAGGCTCGGAAGGCCAATGAAGAGGATCTTCAGGCGGAGAAGACCCAGCGCGCGCGCGGCCGTGAGGCTGGCCGCCTCATCTTCGAGGGCGTGGTCGTCTACATCAATGGCAGCACCTACCCGCTGGTATCGGACCACCGTCTGCGGCAGCTACTGGCCCGGCATGGCGCCCGCATGTCGCTGCACCTGGGTCGGAGGAGCGTTACGCACGTCATTATTGGGCGGCCGGCGGCCCTGGGGCCGTCAGCTACTGGGAGTGTTGCTGCTGGAGGGGGCCTGGCCGCGGGGAAGCTAGAGAAGGAAACTCGGCGGGTTGGAGGGTCGGGCGTGAAGTACGTGGGTGTGGAATGGTAAGTTTTATCTCGTATACCCACAGAATACTTGCGTTTCTATCTGCCTAAATGCCTGCATTTCTCTTTCTTCTTGACACAAACGGTCCTTTGTCCTTCCCTGTGTGTCTCGGATGCGTATGGATACTGTGCAAAAGTAGGGAAATGTGATCTGAGTGCTGCCCTGCTGGTGGTGTGCTTTCCTGGCCGTTTACCGAGCTCAACGTGGCTGCTTCTGGTTCGATTTCCCTTGGGTCTTTGTCCCTGTGAGCTGTGAGCTGACAACCTTTCTAGGGTATTGGAGAGCATCAAGGCCGGCAAGCGACTCCCCGAGTCCCGGTTTGCGATCCTCAAAATAGCACCTCGGAGACAGCAGAGTATTCTCGGTGCCTTCTCGAAGCACGAAGACGGGAATTCGCCGCAGCTACCCGCTTCGTTCCGGACTCGCTAACAACATGTTATCCGCTTGCTTGCTGGATCTTCATCTCAGGTGACGTTTTGCTGTCTTCGAGAGGCAGACTCCAGCTTCCACTTTCGACATCTCCGATCGCTATCCTTGCCTTGAGCGAAGAGTGCCGAATCGTTGCCAGTGAGCAACTCCTACTGCGTTGTACGAGGCTCTCTTTATTTTGTACAGCAGCCCTTGCAGTAATGTGTAAACGGCGGCTGGAGTGTTGTTTGCTACCGCCACGTATAGTGCAAAACTGCATGATATATTGCTTTGCATGAGAAGTGAGCCCTCAATAGGTTATGATGGACTGGTGACGGGTCACACGATGAAACTTGTACAGGACATAATGAGGGGTGCTGGACACTTTTCTCTCTCTAGGGACCTAACATCCATGCGTTTTTACATAATGCCGTTCAAGTACATTTTCTGGCATTCTGCGCTTTGTCTCACGTGGTCTTTGGCTTGGAGCGAGCTGGAATAAAGATCAAGACGTGGAATATAGACGTGAATGAACTGTTGCTGAAAAAAAAAAAAAGGTCTGTCAGGGACAACTTGGCTTGCATGCATGCATGGGCATGATGGACAATCTGCCGTGTTTCTAGAAGTGCACTTCTTCGCATAATCGAGCTCTACTTGGCTCTTTTACTGCCTCCAGATGCATGATTGTTTGCCATGAAGTCTTCCGAAGGCAGATTCGGCCAGACATCCACTCACGATGGTCCTTTGTTCTGGAAGGCCACCACTTCTTCGACCTTCCACGAGGTGGAGAATTTGTATGAAACGGAGAGGCCGAGCTTAACGGATTACATGCGGCATACTAGAGTATGGTTTTGAGCTATGATCTACAAAGGGACAAAGCTCTGTTCTTCGGAGATCGGAATCCTCTGCGGGTTTTGAAAGACCTTACTGAGGTCTCTGTTCAACGGTCAGCCTTCTGGTGATACTTCTGGCTCCGCCTACGGAGTACACATGATCAGCAGCCTTGTTGTCTCGGTCCCAGAGACTAACTTTTCTCCCGAACTAGCCGCTATCGATACACTGTGCTCTCGAAGTTCGGAGCTGGGCTGGTCTGAATCGGATCAATTCTTTCCCTTTCCGTCATTGACAAGTCTAGTTTTACCTTCGAGCCAAATTTCTGTTGGAGACAACCTGTCGGGAGCTCACGTCTCACTACACATCGCAGCACTACATCCGCCTTCATCTAGATAGCGCCTTGACACTTGTTTGTACGACATCTCGATGTCATTTAACCTGTGTATGCTGCTTGCCATTGGTCTAGATTTTGTCATCAGCACAAAGGCTAGGATCTACCCATCACCCTAATGCCCAAGACCAGCACTTAGGAATTCTCTTTCTCTCTCTCTCGTTTCTTTCCATCACTTATCCTGTTCTTGAACATTGCCGGGTAAACACTTCTATCCTGGGCTTCTTTGGTACTCGCTGCCCCATAGTCAGATTCTCTAGAACTTCTATCGCTATCCTACTATCCTGTTAAACAGAACACAGGATCTTCCAAGCGCCAACAAAATTAACAGTTACGTCAACGCAAAGTAACTTTACACCTAACCCCGAACAACATATTCCCTCTCACATCATATATCTCAAACGCCTGATGTGACCAGAAAGGCAGGAAAGCTCTATCAATCCCCACATCCGTAAAGTTCTGGGAAGAGGCTGTGGAATAAATCCCACAACTTGTGTGCCCGATGCCAAGGCTCGTGATGAAGGTCTTGTGTTCTGTTGCTCCATTTCCCGTTACACCTTCTAGTCATTCTCGTGACGACTGTACGACAGGGCAAGGGTCTTGTTGTGTTAGGGACTGGAGTGGAAATTCTTGCAAAGCATGAACTTTTCAGCACAAACGAAAAGACTTAAATGTACAATCAGCATTTTGAGGATGCTATAATCTGTGGACTACTTTGCATCAGCATTTGTGTAGGAATGGACTGGGAAACATCAAGTCACCTATAGAATCTTCACAGTAGCCCCCAATCACAACTCGAGGGCTTGTTTCCCAAAAAAAAATTCTACATATGCTTACCTAAACTCAAATATTACCTACCAATTACCATAACTCTTAAAATGAACCTGGCTCGAGTCATCAATCTATGCTTAAGACGGACAGCGCCCAACTGTGCAACCTAGCCTCTAACCCGCGCATTTCACTTTGGGTCTGGCCTATTCCCCAGTTAAGAATGAGATTGACAATCATATATGAAGAGATTGAGACTTGTCCTATTCCATTCGACGACGAAGCAGCAGATAGGATCTCCTATGTAGGATAGGATCTCCTATGTAGGGGTCACCCACTGCTGGTAGTATCTCCGCCTCGGAAGACTACCTACCGCCTGTCAGCTTTGTCGAAACACTCATGTCCACTCTGATTATTAACCCTACTGTCTTGGAACATTGCCTTGTGAATGATTGCTGCCTGTTACAGAGGAATACTCTGTTTTGTTGAAGACTTTGAAAAGTTTTCTGCTGGAGGGTTGCCATAGGTGTTGATGTGCTCTGTAGGAGTATCGGTGATTGCCGGTTCCTAGCTTCGGCACATAATACTGCTAATTCACCTTTCAAAACTCACATTACTGAGAATACTCGTACATTCAAGGATTACTAAGTTGATCTCTTTGTCTTCTCGCGCTCCCCCCCCCCCAAAACCCATAGGGGATCAGCAGTCTGTGTTAGAGTGCCCAGTCTCAGAAACGGACAGCGCCTTCCTCGTCACGGTTTCTCAGAGGCCACTTCAAGCATGTACAAACCGGATATTAAAGCTTCGGGGCAACACTGACCGCCCTCACAATCGGCATTTTATTTCTTCTAACAGCTCACTCCTTTTGTAGACCTGAATTGGGAATGATCATCCGAGCTGACAGTTGACACAGTTGATAACAAACTTTCTGGCATGATGCCCAGTTGACAAGTAGACGTACAGTGTGCACAGGTCGTCTGGAGTTTCCATGATCTTGGTCATTGCGTAAGGGAGTTTTATGACACAGGGCAGTCTAATTACCAACTTCTTGCTGTTTGAGGATTAGCCTTAGGGAGGGCTAGATCAAGGGGGGTTCTAGGGAAAGGGATGGAGATTGTGTAGACTCTAAAATCATTACCCTGTATGCTTCTCTGTATGCACTTCCTCTCATGGACTTGCAGCGCAGTGAAGTCTGATGCTGCCACATGAATAGTCTGATATCGCCAGAAATGGTTCAAGTAGACCGTAGTTAATAGGGGATTAGCGGGAACAGAGATCACTTGAAAAACTACGACCTCAGACAAACCAGTATTGAAGCAGAAAATACAAACTATTCCAAACAAACAGACAGCCCAGATACAGTTAACAATCGACAGTCAAGACAACCTGTAAACCACAACCCAACAAGATAATCCCAGAGAGATAGATAACCTTCCCAACCCAAAACTCCACAAAATCAAAGCTTGGCCTTGATAGGCTTGACCTGATCAATACTCTTATGCTTGTCGCCCACCTTCTGGAAATACTCCCTGATCTTCTCCCTCGCGACGTTGATCACGCTCGCGTCCTCCACGGTAGACGGCACAGTGACCTCCTTGTCGAACTCGCCGTTCGTCGCGTTCTCCACCAGCTCCCTCAGCACACGCCGCAGGGTCTTGCCGGAGCGTGTCTTCGGGATCATGCCCTTGCCTTGGATCATGCCACCCAGGCTGGCAATGGGGCCGACCTGGGTCCGGACAAGCTTGTTGATCTCCTCGAAGAGCTGCTTGTCATCAACTTGCTGAGAGGTCTGGACAAAGGCGAACGGCAGCTGGCCCTTGAGGGCATCCGGAATGCCAACCACGCAGGCCTCGGTCACCAGCGGATGGCTGGTGATGGCCTGCTCAATACCACCGGTGCTGAGACGGTGGGCAGCAACATTGATGATGTCGTCTTTGAAACGTTAGTACTATTTCTTAAAACTTCCACGACCTCGGGAAAGCAACATACCGGTGCGAGCCATGATATGGATGTAGCCCTTCTCATCGATCCAGCCGGCATCGCCGGTATCGATCCACTTGCCGCCGAAGCGCTTGAGATAGCCCTTGTAGAAGCGCTCCTCGTCCTCCCACAGCGTACGGAACGCAGTAGGCGCGAGGGGAAGACCAAGAACGATGTTGCCCATCTTGCCACGTGGGACCTCGTTGCCCTTGTCATCGACGACCCTGAACATAGTTTTAGCCATGGCGCTTCACTTGGTCAAAACAGAGCAGCAGTTACTCACCTGACGTCGAAGCCAGGCATGGCCTTGCCAGCACTGCCAGGCTTGATAAGAAGCGGCGGGTGGTCCTTGATATCGGTCAACCGGTCCTTGCCCGCGTGAGGAACAAGGGCAATGCCAGAGATGGGCGAGCCAGACTCAGAAGACCACCAGTTGTCAACCACGTGAGAGTCAGGGGCACCATACTTTTTGAGCAGATCCTGATACATGGTGATGATGGCAGGCTCGGACCGCTCACCGGCAAGGAAGATAGCCCTCAGGCTCCTCAGGCCGCCGCGCTTGCCGATGCGAGTGATGTGCTCGTTCTTGGGGTCCTCCTTGCGGATGGCGCGCAGGGCAGTCGGAGCAGTGAACATAGTGTTGATCTTGTACTCCTCAACGAGGCGCCAGAAAGCCGAGGCGTCGGGGGTACCGACGGGCTTTCCTTCGTAGAGGACAGTAGCGGCACCAGTCAGGAGAGGGCCATAGAGGGTGTAGCTGTGAGAGACAACCCAGCCGATGTCGCTGAAGCAACCCATCTGAGTCCAGTTAGTACCTATCATGTAAGAACCAATGACATTCTGCAGGTACTTACCACATCACCAGGGCCATGGATGTCAAAGAGATACGAGATAGACAGGTGCAGGCCCACGGCATGACCACCTGCCTCACGGAGCACACCTTTCGGAAGGCCAGTGGTGCCGCTAGTGTAGATGATGTAGATGGGGTCAGTCGACTTGACAGGGACGCACTCAGCCCTACGGCCGCGCTTCCAGGCACTGCGCTGCAGCTGCTTCCAGTCTCTCTCACCCTTTGCCTTATTGATAGGGTTCCAGAGGAGCTGCTCACGTTGCCTGATACCTGTTAGCCACTGTAGGAGAACATCAAGGACATGGAAGACCTACCAGATGATAGTCCTGGGCGGCTTCCACTTGGAGATCTTGATGGCCTCCTCGACGTAGTCCTTGTACGGGATGGGCGGCTTGTTGCCATCGATACCACACGAGGCAGTCAGGATGACAACGGGACGAGAAGCCTCAATGCGCTGAGCCAAAGCATTGGAAGCAAAACCGCCGAAGACAACAGCATGAATAGCACCGAGACGGTTGATGGCAAGGATACCAATGAGGGCAGCAGGGATCATGGGCACTTGGAGCAGTCTGTGTCAGACTCATCATTCATCTTCCTCCTTAACAACTTGTGCACAATCTGAGACGTGACGGGACCTACTGTAGACGAGCACGACATCGCCCTTCTTGACGCCCTCCTCACGCAGGACGGCGGCAAAGGTCTCGACCTCATCAAGCAGCTGCTTGTAGGTGTAGCGCTGCTTGGTGTTGGTGACGGGGCTGTCATACAGGATGGCAGGGCAGTCACCGCGGCCAGCCAGGACATGGCGGTCGATGCAGTTGTAGCAGGTCGAGATTTCGCCGTCGGGGAACCACTCCCAGTGGTCATGGGTTACGCCGTTCTTGAGCTCCTTGGTGGTCCAGGCCAGGACACAAGACGGCTTCTTGTGCCAGTAGAGATGCTCGGCCTGGTGGCCCCAGAAGCTCTCGGGGTCGGTGAGGGAGTGGTGGTGAACTTCGTCCTGCGGGTGGGAGTCCATGGCTGCAAACAAACCAGAGGCCGGCCTACTGTAAACGGATACAGGCAGACGAGATGAGAGGAGGTCGTCAACGGGCTGGAAGCTAGGGGAGTCGGGGGCAGAGAGCTGGATGCGCGTTCCAGTTGCCGGCTTGGTGTTGCGGTCAGGGAGAGGAGAGGAGGGGTCTGAGGGGATGGCTGGTGTGCGACGAGCAAGACAAACAGCACCTTGCCATCGCCGTGGCGTTTGACCCTTATATACAGTTGACCTGTCGCTGGGTCTCCTCCACAGTTCCCCTCAGACACCCGCGATCACGATGGCCCACGATATCGCAGTCACAGAGGTCACAAAGGTCACAGAGGGGTACGAAAGTGTCAGAAGCGCGCGCAGCATCACAACGTGCTGGTAGCCTCGGCGCTGCCCCCGCATTCCGTTGCCCCGACCCTTGGTAACGGCGTGAAGTTGCCGCTGAACGGGCCTGGGATCCGGGGGATCGGCGCTGACTGGGAAGCTATTGGCCGCCTGTGCGCTGCACCATTGCCGAAGTGTGGCGCGTTGAAGCCGAAGCCGTGGCACGCGGCGGAGAGATGGAATGCCAATATCAAACAGCACTACCTGGGCCTGGCCTTGGACTGGCCTCGAAACAGCAACGACACTGTTGCACCAGACTCACTTCCAGATGCCAGCTTCCGTGTTTTTCTCGTCCCTCTAGTCCAAACTTGAGTACAGGAAAGCGGCCTGTCCCGCGACTTCCTAAGTCTCGGGGTCGTAGCTGCTTGGCTCACACTCTTGCGCGGGGCACGACGCGGGTCTGGACTGCAGGCAGACGTAAGGCCCCAGCCCCGCGGCTGCCCTCTTAGGCGGATGTCGGCCTGTGCCCGCACCACCATACACGGCTTGCCTTCATTCTTGCCGCTTCGCAGTGCAGCAATATGATGACTTTGGAAGTTTCGAGATAGATGTTGTTTCCATATAGAATTGGTTGTTGTTGCTCTACTTCCGAAGTATTGGTTAATTGATGATCGGCGCGACAAGGTGGGAAGCCATCCATGGATTGTATCCGTCCGAGCTCCCTCGCCCATGGCATGTGATTCTACTAGCGCCCGCTGCGGGTTTCCCAGGAGGTGGTCATCACTCACACTGGCCGTTTTGCAACTCCATTGCACGCAGTTCGTGATGCGCAACATGTCGCTTCTCCCGTAGTCTCTTCGCTCTCCCCCAGGCGAAATCCTGCCACACCCGACTATGTCACTGATCGCATCGATCCCGACATCTCATCCCGATCTCTACGGAGCGGTTCGGGGGCTCTCCCAGATGTCGAAACCCCGGAGAATGTCCGCTGTGGTTGCGACACTGCGCGGCTCAAACGTGCTTCCAGCCAGCCGATGCTCGTGGAGCGTGTAAGAGAGTTGCCGAATTAGCAACTCCAGGTTAACCGACTGCGCCAGACTTGCGCGACGTTGTGGCTCTCCACAATCCGTGTATTAGCCCCGAATCTTAAATCCTTCACTCAGTCTTCGGCCTTTCATAAGGTGCTTATCAAGTCAATCGAATTGAGGCTGGCTCATCGTCCCTGTTGCCGTTACCAACACAACGACCTACTGACTCTGAACAACTACGCTCCAGAGACTGATGAGCACAACTTAAGTCTGGCTTCGACACAACTTGCCGAGTCTTCTCCAAGATTTTACGCACTCATGACATGAGAGGTTAACACTTGTAGGGTCATTTCCCATTTCGACAATATATGCCTCAAATGCCTTTCAGCATAAGGTTTGGACATAGTCGGCCAGATTAATTGGAGCCAGTGATCAAATTGGGCATTGTCTGCTGCCAACGCAACAGCGACCCTAAAACTAACGTTCTTATTCAACAAGATGGCGCCAAGTGACTTCACGAATCGAAAGCAAAAAGCACAAAATTTTTCAAGCCAAAAAAAATGAATAGTGTTGGGTATTTACGAAAGAACACTATTCACAAGAAAAGGCCACCTCGAGAAAGGCAACGGAGGAAAAGCCCCGTCCCAGACTCTCCCGCGGTACTGGACAAGTCTCCAACCGAAAACCCCATGACCTCATACCGCGGTATCAAACCCCCCTCCCGAAGCATTATAACCACACTTCCTCCCTTACACCCATAGATCCAAAACCCTTATTCCCATCATGAAAATTAAAGATTAAACTTGAGATCATTCATGACGAAAAACCCCACCGTTCGCCATCCATTTAGAGAGCGAAGGCAGCGACGCCAAGGAGAGCAGCCAGACCGGCGCCCGAGAGGGCAGCGGCGCGACCAGCACCGGCGGTGACGGGGACCTCGGGCTGAGGAGAAGGAGTGCTGGTGACGACCGGGGGATGGGCAGTGCCAGCAGGGACGTCAGGGGTCGGCACAGGGCCGGTGGTGTTATGGTAGCCACCGCCGCTTTACGGAACGTTAGCAGGGAGTTCTCGCAAAAGTAGAGAGCATAAGCAGTAGAACGTACCAGTTAGGGGTGTTGCAGACGACCGAGGAGATGGTGGTAACGGGCTTCTTAATGGTGCAAGGGCAGTCGGTAATAGTGAGGGTAGTGGCCTCGGTGACGGTGTAAGTGTGGTCGTTGTAGACGACCGTGGTCGGCTCAGGGCAGTAGGTGGTGTAGGCTGTAACGACCTCAGTGACGTAGGTGACGTTGCTGTAGGCCGAGGCGCCGGCGGCGAGGGCAAGAGCAGCAGCGAAGAACTTCATTTTGACGGTTGTTTGAAGTGTCCAGAAAGATTATACACTATGTACGCGGTGTATATGTATTCCTGGGGAGGAAGCGCTGGGTATCGAGAGAAGGCTGGCGAAAAATGCGCGCTGGTCGTCTGAAACGAGTGGATTTGACTCGAAAGTCAGTTGGATACTCCAAAGTGAGCGTAGTGGGTTGGGTGAGGAGGAAAGGAAGAGGAGGGCGGAGCCCAGAGGGGGGGGCGGCAGCATGCTTGGTTTTATAACGGCTAACTCCCTCGCCATCGCATCCCGGCTCATCTCCCTCCCCCGGGAGACCTGGGTTTCTCTGGATCCCTGGTTTGTCAATCCCTCTCTGCATGCACTCTGCTGGCGGACGTGCCATCTGATGAGCCGGTCCCTAATTGGTATGGCCTCAAGGGGCTCTCGCACCCATGCCAATCCCTTCCGGCCACCCAGGCCCATGTTTCTTGGCGGCCCCATGCCGAAATGGGACGGTATGCCCCCCTCTGACTGGCTGGATCTTCAGGAGTTCACAATCTCGAGTGGGTCCAGTGGCGACCAACGAGCGGTCTGCGCACGGCTTGGTACGCAGTGGGGCGTTCGATAGTCCCAACGTATTTTCCTGCGCTTCGGCGACCAGCGTTCAGGCTGGCAAGGGACGTGACGTGGACTTTGCTGGGCTGTCGCTTGCTTGGCAGGGGAAGACAACTGGAAAGCGCCTGGTGATACCCACTTTGCAGCTGGGCGTTCGCCAGCGCGAGACCCACGAGTCCAGGTTCGGCATTCTTAATCTCGTCAATGGGACATTTTTTTGGGATCGGGAAAATGCAACCCCCCCTTTTTGTTATCAACTGATGGTTGACTTGGGGAAATCGATGTCGATCATCTGTGTATTGTCTGTACTTGTGATGCAATCGGTAGCAGTTGAGAAAAATGTTCCAACGTTGTTGTGTGCCCAACAACACATGGCAGCGCTGCAAACACCCGGAACCCGACAAGAATGCGGTTCCATTGTCAACCGCCACCATCAACAACCAGGTGCTGATGCATCGTCCTGCCTGTTCCTGCAGGAACCCGGGGTCTGGGCACCTGGGCAGCAAACCAGATAATGGGCACTGCTAATTAAATCCTGGGGAGCGCCATCTGTCCTTCGGACGGACCCCCCCATCTGGGGTAGGTTGGCTGCCATACAGAAGACAACCCTCCGGAGATGTGTGGTTATGTGTCCGAGCATTAAATCAATTGATCAATCACAAGCACGGGATGCACTGCAACCCTTCGGTTCACAATGTCCTGTATTTCTGGAAATGGAAGATGACACAGATCTCCCTCTGCTTTGTGTGTGCGCGTTGCGATCTGAGAGCAGTAACGAGATGGGTCAAGATACGGATGTTAGGTAGCTCGGCGCTAGGATACACTAGCGCCGCGGTGTAGGAAATTGAAATTGTGTTTCTTGATTTAATCCTGTGAAAAGATTGTTCTGGAACTTGGGAACGGCACAGGCGGCATTGAATTCCGGCGGGCGTTTGGAAGGGTGATGGAGGAAATAATTGGACGGTGGGATTGCATGCACAGATTTCGCGAGCGTTCCTCGTTTGTGTGTTTCATCCTCCAATATTTTGACAGCCACATTGGAGTTTTTGAGCGAGATATTTTTTTCCTGCGATCTTTGTGGCACTGGCAATGAAAATGCAGTGAAGAGAGGGATTTTCTTAGTGTACGGCACCATTGATGCCTTATGGAGTCGCTAGCGTCCACCTCACGTCATCCACCACCGGCAAGCGCTCACTGCAGTGCTGATCATGATGCATCGAGATACTATATTTTGGTGGCGGTATACAACCCGGGACCCTTTGGGAGGAACGAGCTTTTTGCCTGACCAAACCAGCAATATTACGATTCGATCATTTCACGGAGTTTGGTACGGCAAATCCCCCCCACGATTCTCGGGACAAACGTTCTTCCACAGTTGCTTTTCAACCTTATCGCCATGATAGGTGGTATAGATGGGACCGTTCCACCGGATCAGTCCTCTCGAGACACACAGGGTTTGGAGAAAGACCACCATCAGTCCACCATAAGACAACTGTTCAGGCAGTATCCTTGTAAGAAACTCAATGCCTGGTTGCCAACTCAAGAGTTGGCGATACCTACCAGATGTTTGCAGTGTTCTTCGACTATTGAGATAGGGGGCCGTTAGCATGGATAGCCAAAGTAGGGGCGCTGCCTGAACTGCGATAAGCTTAACTGTCCCATCCCCTTCCAGCAATGGAAGGCGATGTCAATAGTACAGGTCTCAGGGACGTAGCCCAAAACCTGGACCTTGCTAACTTTATCGTCGTTCCTTAATTGATCATACAGCCAACCAAGATCGCAGGAGATAGATGCGGGGCAAGGGGAAAGCTAAGCGTCTAAGATATGTATTGCTTTAAAGACTCAGCTGGATGCAGCAGCCTTGCAATGAAACTCTGCCGTCGTTCGTCAAGGTCAAGGCTTCGATAACTCAAGAGGCGTATTGAAGAAAAAAAAATGTGTCTAACCTTAGGTTGGAGAGAAAGATAAACTGGGCGTGTGGTGAGATGGCTATGGTTCTACCCAAGCCTTACGTTTCCTTTACGTGGCCTGGAATCTTCTATGAGCGCAAAGAAATTAGCTAGGTAGAATATACTGAACACAAATTTCTACTTTCCGACAATATACGTCCTTTAAGAAGATTGTCATTGATCGTTGCCTTTGCATGTTTAGCTTTGTCAGAAAGGAGAGAGCACACATCCTTCAAGGGGGGAAAGCAGATAATGGTGAATTGCCCTATACTGCTCTTTATTTTGCATTTCATCCTCGAAGCAGGTAAGATGCAGGATATAGCCCTGCATTCATTCGCAGGCATATGCTCCCATAATCATCGAGCTTCTTGTATCATTGGACTATGGTCGGCCAGGTTACTTTTGAAGGAGTGACGTGCAGCTGAGTTTGGCTGGACGATGTGCCGCATTGTCTCGGAACACGTCATGTTAGGTATTCAGAAGCCCGCAGCTGTAATCTTCGCTCACTCTCGTCTTATACCCGGCTTCGTACATCATACTACTCTTCTAGTATCCATCATAATACTGCCGCTGTGTCACCATGTTACATAGATTATGGAGGAAATCAGACTGCAAGTTCTCTCTAATAAGTAGTGATCCCATTATAAACCGTATAATGTATTTAGTCGCATGTTTTAATAGCCCCTATAGAACTGGAGGAACCCAGACAAAACGTTTGCTTGTCAAATCTGCCCAGATAGAGCTTTCAGCCGATTTGCCGATCTAGTGCGCCATTACCACAGTGACCGTACCCAGAAAGAAGGACAGACTTGGAAGCCTTACTATCCCCGGTGACCTTGGGACCGGTCGCCTATCATGAAAGACCATGTCAGGGAGCATTTACGGTACTACCATAAGGAGGACTTGCCTGCGTCCCGTCGTCGCTTATATGAAAGGGGCAAAAAGTGGTGGAAGGATTGCTAACAGATAGTTATCCTCTGCGGTTGGTGGCGGTGTGCGAAGTGCTTTTCCCTGGTTTCTGAGGATAAAAGACCTGCGACCGCGAGGAGGAGTTGAAGCTGGATCAACAAGAATGGATGGAGTGGTTCAAGGAGCGGCATCCGGGCTCGGATCCCCAGCATCGAGACCACGAGCCCCCTCCCCCCCCGGATCCGGTACATCATACCAAAATGACCAGGAGGTGGAGACTCCAGGACACCAAGAGCAAAGAAGCCCAGGATTTGATACATCAATACCAGTTAGCTCAGGATCCAGAGCATCAAGATCAGGAAGCCGAGTACCCAGCGCATCATGACGAGTTAGCTTAGAATAAAGAACATGAAGGCCAAAAAGCCCAATATCTGGTGTATGAACACCAAGAATTTCGGTGTTCGTGGTATATCCAACAAATCCGGGATTCAGGGCATCAATACCTCCAAGGAGACCAGTATATGATGCCCTAATACGATGAAACCCAGTATCCGGCTCCTCAGTGCTCTGGGATCGAGCATCTGGCGCTTCAAGACGCTCAAGAGCAGTATCCTGGCTCGAGTCACATACACCGGATTACATAAGGAAGTCAATGCCGAGTATGCAAGAACAGTTTATGTCAGGGATCGCATGTTGGAGGAGGAGGGGGGCGATGTCCCTGCTGATGTTGGAGGGTTGAGTTCGTTCATGCTAGTATAGCTTTCGGATCTTATTTCAATAGCTTTAGATTCGGCCTTCTAACTCTCTTCATTCATCACTTTGAAGTTCACTTTTCATTCTACTCACTGCAAGAAGTGGTTCTGAGTTGGATTTTGCACCTCAGAGTTACAAAGACCAAGAGATCTCCTGGTTGTATCAACCACCCCCCCCCCCCAAAAAAAAACTCGGGTCTTGCACGCGGCGGATCCGGGTCCCAGGCCCAGGGAACAGGCGGGACGGATGGGGCCGGCCCGGCCACCCCAGCGAATGATGCAAATCTCTGAGATGAAGATCCGTGGAATAGAAATTTCTCTATGTGCTTCTATTCGGTGGGGCCGCTAGGCACCGTAATGGTGGGATGGAGTTACGGACGATCGCCTTAACGGCAGCGGCAGCAGACAGCACGTCATGGACAGCTGGGATGAGGTTTCACAATGGCAGACGGGGGGTGCTCCGCCTTTTACCTAACTTACCCGTTGGTTGCTGAACCTCGGATAGATGCGAGTGGGATCTTGCAGTGCTTTGCCGATCATTCATTTGGGGTTTGTCAGTAATGAGTTTGTCAGCAAGGTTGTAGATGTGTGTTGAGCCGCACTGATTCTGTGAATTTTCTGTGCTGTTTTTACCCCGCGGAAGACGTTACCCTCTAGGATTTCATCCCATCTCATCACAACCTTCTCTCCTTTCCTCTGATCAGCAATTTCATATCCTCCTGTAAATCATTCTAAGAAAAAAAAAATCCTCATCCAAGAATTGAACAATGGCTACCATGCGCTCAGTAGGCAAGTCTCCCCTGCATCCCCTCGCCTTCCCCCTCTCCTTTCTCCTCTATCACATCTAATCCCTCCCCCACAATGTAGATATCCAAAATGGCGCCGGGCCTGCAACCTCCTTATACCTTAATCCCTCCACTCCTAAACCCATCCCGGGCCCAAACCAAGCCCTCATCCGCGTGCACGCCTTCGGCCTCAACCGCATGGACCTCCTCCAACGCGAGGGCCGCTACCCGGCCCCTCCTCACGCCCCTTCCACTCTGGGCGTCGAGTTCAGCGGCATCATCGAGTCCCTCGGGCCCGACACTGATTCCGAGCGGTTCAAGCCCGGCGACGCAGTCTTCGGGCTAACCTACGGCGGCGCCTACGCCGAATACGTCGTTTGTTCCCTGCGCACGCTTCTGCGCAAGCCGGAGGGCTTGAGCCACGTACAGGCAGCTGCGCTGCCCGAGGTGTGGATGACTGCGACGGGTGCGCTGGAATTTGTGTTGCTGGCGCCGCCGCGGGCGGGGCATGCTCTGGGGAGTACGTGGGATGGGGACAGGCCCCTTAAAGGGAAGACGATTCTCTGGCATGCGGGCGCGTCGGCGGTGTCGATTGCTGGTGCGCAGTTGGCGAAGTTGGCGGGGGCTGAGAAGGTGTTTGCGACGGCCGGAACGGATGAGAAATGCCGGTTTGTCGAGGAAGAGGTGGGCGTTGCGCGGGCGTTTAATTATCGGGCGGAGGACTGGGTGGCGGGGCTGTTAGAGGCTACTGGGGGAAAGGGCGTGGATATGATCGTTGATTTTGTGGGCGGTAGTTATTTCCAGAAGAATGTGGATGTCGTGGCACGGGATGGGAGGATCTGTCTGTTGGGATTGCTGGGAGGAGCGGTGACGCCAGCGCCGGTTGATATTGGGAAGTTGCTGTACAAGAGGGTTAGGATCGAGGGGAGCACGTTGAGGAGCCGTGATGAGGAGTACCAGGGCAAGCTGAGGGATCGGTTGGAGGAATATTTGCCCAGATTCCAGAGCGGAGAGCTCAAGATCATCATCGACACGGTGTTGCCCTGGGAGGATATTGTGAAGGCGCATCAGAGGCTGGAGAGCAATGCGACAAAGGGGAAGATCATCTGCACCATTGGTGAATGATGGGGGTATCGGTTTGAGTATAGCGATCTTTTAAAGCATCTTATGATACCCGGCTATGAAAATGAAAACCCCTGATTTTATACACATTTGTACCCATCATGACCCCAAAACGCCTGATAGTTAGGAACCCCACAATCCCTTAATGGTCGTTGAGCCATTTCAGCATCTGATCATACGCTGTTGCTTGTGCCATCTTGATGGTCGGATCATCATATTCGCCCACGACAGCGAAGCCTGCTTGAGTTAGAGACGTTTCGTAAAGTAGTTGAGCGTAAGATAAGCACTTACCATGCGGCACTCCGGGATAAACCTGCACCTCATGCTCAACCCCATGCGAGTTCAAGTACTCCTCGCCCGCGATTCGCACCTCATCTGGGAACAGGGGATCATTCTCAACACAAACCACGCTCAATGGCACCTTCAGCCCCTGGAAATCTTCCTTCGACACTAGAGTTGCATGCGCCAGCGCGCCAGCCTTAATAAATGGCCCAACGGTCGGCGGCTTGTTCTCCTCGACATCGCCGCTCCCTCTCTGGGCCACAGCTGAAGTCTCTGCCTCCACTCCCGGATGTGGCAACCTCTCCGCCGCCAGCAGCAGCACATACCGCGCGCCGAAGCAGTACCCAACCGCATAGATCCCACCGCCATGCGACACAGCATCAGCGAACTCATCCTTACAGGCATCGATCACGCGGTGCAAGATAGGCAACACCTTCGCCTCGGTATGGCGGGCCAACCACATGTCGATGAGGAAAGACTTGGCGGCCTCGGCGGCCTTGACCTTGAGCTTGTCGAGCAGCGACCCCGAAGAGGAGACCTCGGCGATCTCGGAGGTCACGGCGCTAGTGTTGGGCGCCGGGTCGCCGTTGAACAGGTCCGGCATGACGACCACGTAGCCTTCTGCCGCGAAGCGGTCTGCTTGGATCTGGTTGTTGACGCTATGAAGGCCGGTGCCGCCTGTCAGGAGGAGCAGGAGTCGCGACTGCGCGTGGGGGTAGTCGGCGGGTTTGGATATGTAGACCTGGATGGATCAGTTACATGAAGGTGTAGCTTGCGCAACGGAGGGCGAACTAACCTCGACATCGTTCAGCCTGGTGATTTCACCTGTCGACGATTGGCCTGCCGGCGTCGGCCTATCGGATGTGCAGTGGTCGCCCATGCGCGGCGCCGATGGCGCTGGAGAGGCGCTAGATGTGGACGCTTCGGGGGTTGGCTGGGCGTCAGCATCGCTCTCGGGCGCTTTCGTGGACACTTCGGGTTCGGCCATAGTGATGATGATGGGATCGAAATTGGGTTTCGGTTCACAATTGAGCGAAAAGGAGTTGATAATAAGTAGACTGCAAAACTGGGCAAATTATGCGACACCTCTGAAAAGCTGACTGCTGGATGCTGAGGAGAGAATTGTTGGAACCCAAACGCGGCGCAGCCGTCTGTCTGATCAAGGGAACTTGGAGGGAACGCAAGTTACGCAACAGACCCCTCCTTATGGCATGAACGTACCCCGCAATGATCGTTATCCTGTCCGTCTGTACAACAAGGGTTAGGGTTAGGTACTAGGGGTCTGGGGAGAATAGTTGATGGCTTGACTCGGTTACCAGGCCAACTCTTCAATCTGGTGATTGTTTTGATAGATTCTATGAAGGTTAGCCATGCATAGGATGTTGATGGCGCAAATTGCCATTGATGTTCTCTCATTGAGGTCTCTTCTACGGATTTACTCTGGTAGGGTCCAAGTTGCTTGAAGGGAGATCGCATTCTGCGGCCTTCAGCGTAGCTCTCCACAATAAAACCGAAACCGGGCAAATTTCATCAAGGCTCTAAAACGAGCTATTTGAACTGCCTGCGATTGACCTTTACAGAGTCAGGTCGCGGATGATGCGGAGAGGAGGAGACCCAGATCGATTGCTGGGCGCCCGTTGCTGTGGAATCAAGACAACAGGTCGCGCCCACAGACCCACTTTAACGCGTCCGGTACGCGTCGCGTTTAATTGAGATAGCGCGTCAAAATTAGGGACCAAAACCCCTGCCGCGCTGTTTCGCTCCTCCCTTCCACACTATTTCCACACAACGCGGAACCTACAACCAAGCTGTGTTTACTGATTGTCGAGCCTTCCAACGCATCACAAACCTGTATACCGACTGCCTCCTAGACTATCAGCACCTAAGAGAAAAGAGAAATCACGATGCCTGGTCTCCTTACTCGCAAGACGCGGACTCCGCGCGGCAAGCTGGCCTCGTCCAGCGCTGCTACCTCCGACATCACCAATTTCACGAAGCTCTCCAAGCAGAAACCGAGCGGGAAGGACGCGCCTGTGAAGGCTCAGTCTATCCAGGATATTCCCACCACCAATATCGAAGTCGTCCTCCAGCCGCTGAAGAGGAAGGCCGAGGACGCTGTCCAGTCGACTCCTAAGAAACTCCGTCAGGAGCCCGCTACTCCTGTGTCGGGAAGGAAAAAGACCGTCAAGTTCGCCGACAAGGCAACTCCCGTCCGCGCACCTAAGCTCGCGTCTTTGACACCCTCATCCAGCCGGAAACGTCGTAGTGAGGATGAAGAGACAACTGATACCGAGGCTCTGCTCGAGCGTCTGCAACTCCAGTCACCCGTCAGGAAGAGGACCAAGAACGCCGACACTAAGACCAACCTTCACAATGACTTTGATCTGCCGCAGGAGCTCATCGACCTGCTCGATCTGCACGTCGCATTCCTCAAGACACTCAGCATGCAATGCGTGCACCAGGGCATGGACTCGCCCATCGACCTGCGCACTATCTATCCGAGCGTCACACGCACATGGGGTAAGCGCCAGGTGACGCTGGAGGACATCCAGCGGCTAGTTGGTGTGCTCGGTTGGACTCAGACCAAGACCAGCAGCACGCAGCACCGGACGCCCTACTTCCTGGCCGACTTTGGTCGCGGCAAGATCTGCATCGAGTTCCACGCCGACGCCGAGCGCGGCCCGCTTCGTGAGCACAAGCTCAACATGGATTTTGAGGCCAACTTGCGCGCTCTGTGGCAGAACCGGCGTGACCAGCCCGTCACCCTCTTCCTGGGCACCCTCCCGAAGGCGAGTATCAAAGCTTGCGCTGCGCATATTGCGTCTACCAAGACTCAAACCACCCTGGATGCCTTCAAGGCTAGCATCGCTGCCAAGAGAGCCGAGCAAGAGAAGGAGAAGAAGGCCACCAACGTCCTGCCAACTCCGGCTCCTTCTCCTGCCCCAAGCCAGCCTGATACTCCTGTTCAGCAGCAGCCTAAACAACAACCTCAATTTCCGGAGCAGAAGCTCTCCCTCCTCGACCGCATCCGCGCCAAGTCCCTCGCTGCCTCTCAACAGGCCGAGCCCACGCCCGCCGAGCTCCAACGGCGCGTGGCCCTCCGCCGCGCTGCAGACGTTGCCGCTGTTATCGGCATGCTGAGCAAGGCTTCTACCTCGGCGGGTCAGGCCCGTGTCTCTTTTACGATGGCGCATGTGCAGGCACGTCTGCGCGACTCTCTGCGGGCAAGCCCGATGTCAGTTGATGATGCGGCTGCGTCTGTGAGATTGCTGGCTACTGAGGTTGCTCCGCAGTGGCTGCGGATTGTTACCCTGGGCGGTCGGGAGAATGTCGTGATCTCTGTGGCGATGCAGCCCACGAAAGGGCAGGTGGAGGAGAGGGCTAGGCAGCTGTTGGGGGAGTGAAGGGTTTCTTTGTGCAAATGGATGAGAATGTTGGTTGAAGGATGGTTGGAAATGAATGATGATTGAATGATCAAAGGGAAGCGATTGGCGAGGAGTTCGGAGTTTGGGAATGCGGGTGCATAAGCATTGTTAGCATGCGCGTTTGGGGGCTTCTGGGAACCTGTATACATTATTACTGATGACATCATGGGTCGGGTGCTCAGGAAAGGACATGTAATGGTCTGGTAGATAAAGAGAGATACGAAGACGAAAAGAGTTCTATTCTGCCTCGCAAGGCGTGTCTATCCGCATATTTTTACCATTGCTGTGCAAACGCCGCCCGTATGAAGCAAATGCCCCCGAATGTCCTCGCTAAAGTATGTCCATATTTGTAAGTAGTAATTTCCCATCATCCATGATTCCCTCATTACAACAACAACCCGTTGCTGTTGGTATCCCTTCCCAAAGTCAGCGCCACGCAGACATTCCGGGATGTCCGTCGACCGCGCATGACTCGGGTATTCCATCCATCCATTCCCATCGCCATAGCGTACCTAACACGCCGCGAGGCAGGCACTCAGGCAGAAAAGATGACCCTCCATGCAAGTTAAACCCAACCCGAAGAAACGAAGAGAAAAGACCGAAGCAGCGCTAATGTGATAGAGAGAGAGAAAGGAATTATCAACTCAAGGCGCTCACCAGCCATTTATTTCTTCTCCTTCTTCTCGAACTTGGGCTTGCCGATGTCGCTGCCGCGCAACTTGACGTTGAGCACGCGCTCCATGGCGGCCAGAACCTTTTGGTCGGGAGCGGCCTCGCCGCGCTCAAATTGGGCCACGATGGTCGGCGTCGTGTTGCACTTGGTCGCCAGCTCCTTCTGCGTCAGGCCCTTCTGCCCGTTGGGCCCCTCGTACGCCGCCCGCGCCTTCGCGATCGCCTTGCCCACCTCGATGCCCACCGTCTTGGGCTTGACAATGTCGTCGGCCCGGTCAACCATCGTCAGGCGCTGGCCTTCGACTGAGGGCTTGGAGGCCTGGAGGAGAGAAAAGTTAGGCATCGTCTTTGATATGAGGTGACATGGATAGGATGTCGAAGTTATGGGAGACGTACGGCATTGCCAACAGAGTACTTCTTCTCGGTGGTGATCTGGGCGCCGGACCGACGAGCAGCGTTCAGGGCAGCCTGGCCACGGACGACAGTCTCCCGCGGGGCGCCGCCGCCACGGTGGACGTTACGGCCGATCTTGACCTCAGCGACATCCCAGTGCGACATTTTGGATGGTTGTGGTTGTTGTGGGGTTTAAGAATGCTGGAAGTTTGGTCTTGGAGATGGGTAGTTGTTGTCGAGTTGTTCAAAGAGGAGCAGCGAGAGAGTGAATTACGTTGCTTATCGGAGCTGAGCGCAAAAGAGAAAGTGGGTGGCAGATGGAGATGGGCGATCAGACAGCTGTCACTGGTTGCCTTGCAAAAAAGGATGCAAGCAGATAAAAAAAAAGGGCAAAGCCGAAAAAGCCAGCAAAAGGCGGTGTTGATAAGTTTCAAAACACTTGACAACAACACCTGCAGGGTCCTACTTGTGCCGATTTATATATTTTCTTGATACCCGAGGGCTGTGGAAAGAGGCAAAGAAGCTGAAACGGCGACGGCAATGACTGTGTTCCGGAGACCGCGGTGCAAGCGATGGAAATTTGCCGTTAGTCAGCCTTTTGACCAAAGGTGTGACGGCCAGGGCGGGGATTATTGAGAGGTGGCTCCCCCGGTCTGCGGAATGCGATGGCTTGTCGTCGAAGCTCCCAGCCTGCCTTTTTGGCCCGCTACGCGCCGAGTGACTCGTGCGGCGAACATCTTTTGCCTGAGTGGGGCTGTGCAGGGCATCCCGCTGCGGGCCCTCCGAAGAGGTTCGGAAATGGGAAATCTTCATCGTCCAATGATTGGCTGGAAATAACTTCTTGGCAAGGTCACGTGTGTGTCCAGCAGGCTACAATAAACTTACCTATTAAACGTCATATTTTCTGTAATAACCACTTACACCACTTGATGAATAGACAGGTGAGGGTGATGAATCGCATATTGGGCCAAATAGATCAGACAAAAATAGATTTGTTGCTATGCATGCCATGCCCTGTCTCTGGGTGCATGAGAAAGCAGAAGACAACAAAGATGGTTGTTATTTCACAGTTTGTTGCTGCACCTTTCACTTCTTCAACCGACCAGTTCAATACCACACTATCTCTGCACCTACTTAGGGCTCGGGCATTGAGAACATCCCACGTGCTACTCAGGCCTATCCGAGCCATTGCGACCAGATGCGAACAGATACTTCGCTATGCTGAGGTCAGAGCCATTGGGACATATATTTCCTTTATGGCTATGAAAGTTGTTCTGCTTTTCTCCAGCTCATTCTTTTTCACGATACATTTGACAGTTACCAGTATCGGAATCGCCAATCGTCCACAAAAGGGGGCAACTTACCCCAAGCATCAACTATGTCCGGACTGCGAGCAGATATCGTCAATTTCTCCATTCGTGTCTTAGTCTCAATGCCCAAATATATCCTGGGGAGGAGGCCAGCCATGGAGGAGACGTCGCTCCAGGATGGCTGGGGTCAAGTCGTCTTTATGCCAGGGCTGGTGTTCCATTGGCGCCTCAAGCCCATCGAGTACCAATTTATGTTTCCCTATTTGACCGTTGGGATTCCTGTCGGCCGTGAGGGAGATGTGGCAGGCATCTTGTCTGTGGGGAGTACAGGGGATGCTCGATCTTGGTGGCAGTCGATTCGGAATCGCTTCGTGAACAAGTCGTGGTTCCATGTCGATGCCAGGAACTACCTCGCTCGCGGGAGGGGTGAGCTTGGACTGAGGGGGAAGCTTGATCTGTTTCTGCGCGAGCGGGTAAGAGACCTACAGTGGGTGGTCGAAGAGAGATCATTCTGCTGACTTGACTAGGGAGCCGACCCTGAACGCTATCCTTTCGCCTACCTGGTTACGGCACCAGAAATGTTCGGGTACCAGTTCAACCCCGTGTCGTTCTGGTTCTTGTATAACTCGGACAAGCATCTTTTGGCCACCATCCTGGAGGTGAACAATACCTTCGGCGAACGGCATATGTATTTCCTTACGGAAGAAAACACCGAACTGTCCCCAACAAACTTGTCATCGTTGTTCATACAACACTTTCCAAAGGAGTTCCACGTTTCGCCTTTCAACCCCCGCAAGGGAAAGTACGAACTCAATGGATGCGATCCCTTGTGGAATTCCAAAGGCGCTGAGGGTGTGGGCCTTTTTATGTCCATCTCACTGCATCCGTCAGATCCGGAGGACCAAACCAAGCTGTTCACGAGGGTGTCATGTGAAGAGCGGGAAACCATTGACCCTTTAACAATGTCAGAACGGGAGAAGTTTAACTTTCTCCTGTCCTGGTGGTGGACGGGCTTTCTAACCATCCCCCGCATTCTCAGAGGGGCCTGGGATCTATACGCTCAACTTGGCCTCCCAGTTTGGTATAAGCCTGAGCCGCTGAAGGGAACTCTCTGCCGCGAGGCCACCTCCACGGAGCGCAAGTTGGAGGCTATCTTCCGCAGGTACTTGCGCCATTTTGTCGAGCACGCGCCTGAGGCTATCAAGGTTCGCTACGTTTCGGGCGGCATCACTCCTCACAACGAGCAGGAACGTGAGGAGGACGTGATGTTTTCTCGCGCTGCCAGAACGCGGCAAGCGGCAAGCGGAAATCCAGGAGTGATCCAGGAAGTCGAATTTCGTGTCCTGGATCCTAGTTTTTATACCCGAGTTCTCGGGTATGAGGACACATTTGCAGCGCTCGTCCTTGAACTTGACAGCCAGACGATCTGGGTTTCCGATCCAGAGCTTCTTGGCTATCATGCTGCCGTGGCCAACGGGCCGCAGCAGATATCCTGTCGGTGCTGCGCTCCCTTCACAGCTGGACCAACGACCAGCTACCCACGGCTCAGCTGGCGAGAGAGGATGTGCTTGATGCTCATCCGGCGATTGCGCGACGAGCCCGAACGCATCGTCCGACCCATGACCGATGTGCAGGCTAGGGTTGAGGGGTCGAAGATAAGCAAATCGGGCAGGAACATCCTCGACCGCGTTTGCGGCTCTCATCCATCTGAGATGGACGAATATGTGCTGCGGTGTGAGCTATCGCAGAGCCGGGCCAGCTACCTGTTCTATGCCGTGGGAACACTCGTCAACAACCGACTGGTGTTTTTCTTGTTTGCCATCTTCTACGCCATAGTGTGGTTACTGGAGATGTGTGTCAAGTGGTTACCTCAGGTCACGAGGAAGGTTGTGTGGCGAGTAAGCAATTGGCAAGAGCGAGTAGTCTTCGTGGTGTCTCGGTTGAAAGCAGCGGAACCATAAAACTTTGATTGATCGCAATATCGAGAAGAATGCTCTTCGCGTGATTGTGGATTGGTGCTCCAGGTTAAGGAACTCGAAAGAGAAGAGGCGCTGACGGGCTTGATAAAAGCTGACCACCAACAGGCTGACAATTGTAGCTGCCTGCTTGTTCTCTGCAGAAGTTGCAGATGATATGCAAGCAAGCTCCCCAACCGTCAGAGCCCTCGGAGTTGATTCGAGACGTTGGTCCGGAGAGATTGTCCGGGATCTTTTGCGATCTGGAAGAGAGGCTGTTGGTGGTGGGGGTTTGAGGCATGGAAAGTATTTGCAGTGCAGGGAGGAGGTTTTTCTTTTTTTTTTTTTTTTTGGAACGGTTCCCTGAATATAGTATTAGGCTGAACTGCAGGTACTAGCTAAATGAAAAGGATACAATTCCAAATACTCGACATTAGCCTCTGACAAGTGACGACGTCTGTGTCATTAGCCACTTGCCGCGATGGGCGAGGGGAAACGGTTACGACGCAGCAGCCTGTCTGGATTTGGATAGTGGGGTAGACGACGGTGACAAATTAAAGTGTTCTCGGGTCCTGCTAGACGGAGTCACACGCTGCAACTTTTGTGATTCTGCATGTTTTCATAGGCTGGATCAAGGTTCCGAGAGCCGACGGGCGGTTGACAGTTTCCATGTGCGTTGCGAGCTGCAGCGAGAATGGAGCGCAAATCCCCAAAAAGTCGATACTGCTGATGGATATCACGGAACAAGGGATGGGCTTTTTGGTGGGGGTGGGTCTCAACGCAGGAAACAGACATTTGCTTGTTCGAAGTACACAACTCAACAGAACGAAAAATTTGCCTTCAGTGCCCAAATTACGCTGCCAAGTATTTCAAGACGGGTTTATTGTGCACAGTTAATCTTGGATACCTTTGAGTATGGAACATTGAAACAGGGACAGCTCAGATGTCGATGGCTGTGTCCACGGCGCAGGGTCCTGGAGCAGTAAAGTAAGGGAGCTCAGAACCCCGGAACCTGCAAGCTCCTTTAGACAGGTCAGGTAAGCTCAAGGTACTTGCACCTGTACGTACTACCTTACGTAGGAGCACCGGGCGAAATAGATGGAAGCTCCATATCACTCAGCACCGAGCCCGGATCTCCGCGCGGAGCTGGCATGCAGTGACTGGTGTTCTGTGGACTGTGGCACTTGCTCAGGGGCCTTCGGTCGTTCGCGCCTTGCAGATAATCCCGGCCTTGATTTGATTCCCTGTGCCTAAAGAAGACGGTTGGAATATTTAAGACGACCAGCTCCCTGTTTTGGGATTGTTTTAGAGTTCAATCCTTTCCAACCGTTTCCATTCATCTACCAGCAGCTCTTGGGGACCATTAAGATCTTTCACTTAATGTGCCCACTTGCTTAAACCAGAACTTGAGGACTTCTCAAAGCCAATTGCCAACATGCCGCTCACCGGACACTGCCTCTGCAAGGCCGTCACCTACACGGTCGACGTCGACGCCCCGATCCTGACGGGCTACGACCACTGCGATGACTGCCAGCGCCAGTCCGGCTCAACATACTGTACGTAATCTCAGTTCCGATTCCGAGTGGCAATTCCGCACCGGTACCCCAAGCTCTCTGCCTCTCAAGCTACCCCGCCCCCGCTTCCGTCAACGCAACGTCTCAATTTTTGAAGACACGGCTTGGCCACAGCTAACCACCGGTGTTCTTAGCCCTTGTCTGCGTGGTGCCCAAGGACAAGTTCACATCCCAGGGTCCTCTGAAGAAGTGGAAGGGTATTGCCGACTCTGGCAACGCAGTGTGGCGTTGGTTCTGCGCTGAGTGCGGTTCGCCCATCGCCCATGATCCTGAGGGCGCGCCTGAAATCATTGCCCTCAAGGGCGGCTCGTTGGATATGGAGATCAAGAAAACGCTGAAGCCGGTATGCAACACTGATCTGTTTTTCTTTTGACCATCAATGGGATCAATGGATACTGACAGTTGCTAGGATACCGAGATCTGGACAGTCAGCAAGCTGCCTTTCTGCCAGGAGAATCTGGCTAAGCCATTCAAGTACATGCCCCAGTGAATTGGGGTATGTTGACTTGGTGGAGGGACGAAGGAATGGCGAGAAGGAAGACAAGATCATGGATGCTACGATAAGACAGTATTACTCAGCCACGCGATTTGGGACACCTTCCCCCAGGATTAATAACGGTGTAATAAAACACAGTTATCGTTCGTTATATCCTTATCGAAGTTTGTTGTTCGGAAGCTTGCATTGTGTGCCGTCGTGCCGTATAAGCGGACTGTTACGCCCAACCCTAACCCTGATAGACTGAGTGATCTTGGCCTTCGAGGATGGTGCATTAGACAGGCTTCGCTCACACAATGTGCGTTCGATCGGATGAAGCATTCAGATTTTTGTCCCAAACTTTTAGACTTAGATTCACAACGGCTTTCTTTCTCTTGACAAGTTTCATACCTTCCTTGGAAATCCCCACCTTTTCCAAGTTGCCTAGCTGGGCACACCTCCCCAAGCCAAGCCCTCAAGGACCAAAAGAGAGCCGGCGATTGGCCGAATACAGAGCATCACACACCTTTTTCAACCCCCAAGTAAGCAAGTCCCATCATCTGCTAAGTAACAGATCGCAGAACATGGTTGCAATCGTGGGTGGGGCGAGTGCTGCCGCGAACAGCAGTCTTAGGGATGTTGGTCTGCTGCTGTGTGGGTTGTGACCAGGACGGTAGAGGAAGGGGGGGGGGGAATTCGGCTTGGCTCCAGGCTGGCTGCAGGTCTCGTTCTCGAAGCAGGGGGGTTGGGCTTATGTTACACGTGGGAAGAGTTCGAAATGTTTTCTTTTTGTTGCGCGAGATGTTTCTTCTCCCAACGGGTTATTCCATGCTGTGGTGATTACTCTGCCACGCGTCTCAATTGACCACGAGGATTGTTCGGTCTGTTATCAACCCGTTGTGTTTGTCCTGCCTGCCTTGCATTGCCGCCTAGACTTGTGTTGTTAGCGGTTGCGCGGGAGCGGCTCAGCCCGCTGAAGGGCCATTCGCTCTCACGTATACCAACTCTACGCGCTCACTGAGCCCGTTTCACTATGAATTTTCTCGCTGGGGCCTTCGCAGCCACCGGCTGGCTGCTGGCTGCTGGTATCAGTACTGTATCTGCCGCCGCGGCTACTTCTACACACGAGCTCTTCGCTGCCGTCGAGACGGATGTGATCCTGTCGCCTAGATGGTATCCATTGTTCCCACCACAGCCGCTGGTAAAACGTCAACAGCTAGTTTGTGAATCCGGCTTTCACACATGTTAGTGACGTGAGATCCTAAGGAGACATGTTAAAATCAGAGATGCTGACAACCACTGAGGCGATGAAATTGGCCCTCCAGGCGAAGGTCTCTGCTGCCCTAATCGCGCTTAGTACGTCCGTCCTAATTGCTTCCTCCTTCCCCTCAATACGACTAACACCACCCCCCCCCCCAACCAAGCTGCATCATTGATCCCAACGACCCCTCCAAAGCGGGCTGCTGCCAACTCGGCTCAATCTGCGGCTCTCCCTGCCAGCCCTCCGAATACCAATGCCTCATCACCACAACCGTCACCCGCACGGGCTCTGTCCCCGGCATAACCACGACCTCCATCGCAACCCAACAAGCCTGCTGTCCCCGCGCGTGTGCCGACCCATCACAATTTCTCTGCCCTTCTAGTCTGGGAGGCGGCTGTTGCGGGCATGGATCGACTTGTGCCGAAGGGGGGAAGTGTCTTTTCGTGCCAACAACTTCCTCGAGTTCAATCATGTCGGGCACGATCAGTATGATCCCGCCCGGGTGTACTACAGGGCAGATCAGTTGTCCGGTTAGTTTGGGGGGCGGGTGTTGTGCGGCGACGCAGAGTTGTACGCTGGTCGCGGGGAGGGCGCATTGTGTTGAGACTGTGCCGACGGGGGTAGATGTTGATGGCGAGGAAGGGGGAGGGGGACTCAGTGCGGGGGCGGCGGCTGGGTTGGCTGTGGGTGTTGTGGTTGGGTGTGGACTAATGATTGGAGGTGTGACGTGGGCGGCTTTGAGGTGGAGGAGGAAAAGAAATGAAGAAGTAGGAGATGATGATGATGATGATGAGTATAGTGAGAGCTCGGGACGGCCGCCGAGTGGGTTGGTTGGGAGGATCTTGGGTGGGAGCGGGCCGGGGAGAATTGATTTTGGGGACCCCCGGCCTGTGGCGCCTGAGGAGATGGAGTATCAGCAGGGGATAGGTATGATGCCTTTCTCGGAGCGGGCAGTGCCTTTGCCAATGGGGATGAGATATGATAATACACCCATCACAGTTCCTGGAAGTACGGCGCCAGACGTCTTGGGAAGAGCTCAGGATCGTGGGGCCGTTCCGGTGTATCCCAATGATCCAGGGGATATTACTACGCCGGTTGAGATTGATTCGAATATTCGTGCAGCACTGGCTGCGGCTAGGGCGATGGAAGGAGAACAGGCTCAGGAGAGAGTGTCACCGACGGGTCCTCCAGATGCTGTGCGGCCAAGTGTGTCCCCTCATCCTGGGACATCTACGGGCGGTCAACCGACTGCTGGTCAGCAAGAGAGATATGAGTTATATGGTGATGAGGTGAGACCAGTTTGATGCTCTGAGCTCTGCTTGTTATGGAGTTTTGGGATTGGTATATTTGGGCTTGGATGGGTTCGAGGATTGATATCAAGGGAGAGTTCCTAGGTATGGATGGAAGATATCCATTAGTCATTCGTCGATTTCGATATGGTTCAGTTCGAAGATAAAAATCTTGTATTACGGATCCCGGATAGCCCAATCTTAAGATGAGGAATATTCTCAAACACGCCGTTGAATTGTACTTCATACCCCTTGGTCTCTCACCCGACGCAGACTGACTATTCCCAAACGCTCAGAAACACAAGCTCGGAGGAACAAAGAGAGAAGAATGAGAGAAAACAAACGCCGTATATATTAGCCCCTTGAACGCCATACATGCCATGCGGACTCACATCAAACCACAATTACCGAGACAGAACCCAGACAACCGCCGTACCACGCTCGCCCTGTCCTACCCTACCTACCAAATTACTCCCATCCCGACCTTTCCCAGACCCCAATTAAAACCCTCCATAATCCTCGACACCACCCAGACTAGCCCTAACTAACTTCCTAGCTCAGATTAACTCAAAATCCCTCCAAACGGCTTATACGTATCCAGGTCCCTCAACAGCTCGTCCACCAAGCCTGGCAGGTACCGATCCACAAGCTGCTTCTTCTCCTCAACCGACAACGTGACGCCACTTCCGGACTTCTCACCACCCTTCTTGCCAGCCCGTCCAGGACTCTTGAACGCCTCCCCATTTGGGCTGCTGCCGTCCCTACCGGCTTTCTGAGCCACTGGGGGAGTTTCGGGAGTCAGATAAAAGTACAGGAACTCAGTCAGGCGGAACTTCACGTCGCGGTTTGTCTCGCGCGAGCGGAACAACGAGGTGACGGTCAGCAGGCCGTCGAGCTGCTCAAAGACGCGGACATTTTGCGGCATGTCGAGGAGGGCGACCACGAGGGTGATGACGGTGGCAGATTGGATCGCGGCGGAGTTGATTGGTTCGAGAAGGTCGAGGAGGAGCTAAAAGCCAGGAGCCAGGAGCTTAGTCCGGTCTCAGGTAGGGATGAAGGATAAGGGGAGACAACACAACACTTACGTTCATATGCACGCTCCTCGTGAAAAGCGCCTTGCTCGGTGGGTGCAGCAACAATACACCCTGCAACAGGTCAAGCGCGTTGACGATCAGTAAGTCATACTGGCCGTCGCCGCCGCGCACGACCAGCCAGTCGAGGGTAGCCAACAAGCGCTGCGCAATGTTCCACTCGAACCCTTCCTGAAGCTTGAAGAATTCGCGGAAGGCCGGGTCGGAGGACAGGTCCGAAAGCATCTTACGAGTCGGCTGCTGTTGCTGCTGTTGCTGTTGTTGTTGTTGTTGTTGGTGGTGTTGGGGGTCGGCATGTTTGCGGGAACTGCTGGGACCGGAAAGGCAAATTTGTGCGAGGAGGCCTTCGACTTGCTTGAGGCCTTTCTTGATCTTGCCCGGGTCAAAGGAGGAGAGGTTGTCGAAGGCGAGGGAGAGGAGGGTCTCCATGGTGGACGATGGGTTGGCGTTTGGAGCGCCGCAAAGAGCGACACCCTCGATGCAATAATGGCTGAGTTATATGCTTGGTTGAGGGGAGAATGCTTGCTCAGGCATTCAACGGCGCGCGCGACTCGGTCGGTGGTCGAGGCCACTCGCAAGCCGCAGTCGCATCAAAGGGGACAATGACCGGCGGCTCTGGGCTCTTAATGAACGTCAAATTGTACTTGCTCTCTCAAACAATCATAAAAATACCACAGACTCTAGGCGCCGCACTATAAAATCAATGGGTATCACTGCTGGAAGCAAAACATCGCAGACGCCCAAGGCAATAATATTCCTGACGAAAATCACCCCAATTACATTTCAGCTCTTCAGCTCTTACGCGCTCTAGGCGCCCCATCGCCGTCGTCCCTTGCGCGGTGGTGCCGAATCGGCGGGTTCTCAAGGTCTTGGCAAACGATCGGTGCCACAGCAACCAGCGCGATAAGGCTTGGCATTTGCGATAAGATATCGATAAGAGTGGCTCTCACAGTGCCAAGCACCAATGCCGAGCGGGGGAGTGGATCCAGAAGCTGCAGGCTGCAGGGAACTGGGGGCGGCGGGGCCGTGCAGCACATCACGTTCCATCCGGGCTTGGTTGATCCTGAAGCTGTTTGGGAGCTTGCATGCTTTGATGCAGCGCTTAAAACGGGAACGGATCCAGCGGACGAAGGAGTCGGGAATTTTACAAGCAGCGAATCTGGGATCTGAAACGATAGCCTGGTTTTTTTTTTCCCCAGCCCACGGGAGGCTGGAGCTTGGCTTCCGCAAAGTTCGGAGAAAGTTCCCTGGAGCCAACGATCCATCGGCTGGTGCCGATCCTTGTGGAGGAGAATGAAAGAACGGTTAGGTTCCGATCACCATTCCATCAGACAAGTGTCGGTGTGCTCAGGAGCAGGGTACAGCATGCTGCCGCCGCGACGTCGGCCATGGGTTGAGACACCGAGAACTCACGGTCAAAGCGCAGTTACATGGAAACAAAAAGGGGGTATCTGTGCCTAGCCGCCATGAAAGAAGAGTGGAAGATTCCGCCAGTTGGGACTCCATCGCTAAGGAGAGAGTATATGATGGCGTCGTTGCCGACTTTAGAAGTAGGTTTGTTTAGTTTCTCTTATACGTACATTTAGGTCCGTTTCAGGTCGAGATTTGTCGCTGTTTAGTCGTTTCGTCCATGCAAGGTTTCTTTCTGACCTTCAGTCGCTACATTTGCCGCTTTCAGCCTTGATGAGGATTCATAACTGAGCAACAATAAAGTTTGGCGAAAGTCCTACCAGCTCTGTAATTCTAGGGCTTGTGCTTTGCTGTCATTTTTTGAGTCCTTGAGCAAGTGTCGTCTTACCTACAGAAAAATTGTAAGTGGTCTCAAACTTTTTTGGAGTTCTCAGATTCAGATTCCCATAATGTTGCTTGGGGCCTCGAAAAATGCCCCGCACCAGGCGCTAAGAATGCTGTGCGAGCCAAAGCTCCGCTCCCCGCATCGACATGAGGACTCGCAAAAATCAGGAGCCTCAAGGCTTTTTTAGATTGCCTTTCGTGGCATTCAGTCAGCAGTGACGAAATTCAAGCTCCTGGTTTATTGGACGCGGCACGGTTGACCGGCTGACGATCATGTGTAACTGGGGTCAGACCGATGATTTGAAGTTGATGTTGGCGGCGGGGTAGATTCATGCTGACCAGTGATCACAAGCTTACAGTACCGTTGAGTCCTGCATTTCCATAGGCAGGACCCATCAGCAGCCAGACACATGTGGATGTCGTCACAAGCTGCATTTGACCCCATCGCCGTCCCCTCTGTCCCCTCTGTGTCTTCTAGCGCGGGGCCCGCTCGAGCTCGAGCTCGAAGAGCACGAACCACCAGCAGATTCACATCATCCTTCTCCATAACCACCACATCCACACCCACGCCAACAGCTACTACCACGTTTACGTCGACCAGAGCTGCATGTGCATTTCCGGCTGCGTCTGCATCTGCTCTTGCATCTACGCCTACGCTTGCGACGCTGCCTGTGTCACCGCGGACCGCCCAGCTTGGCGGAAAGCCTACTGCACGTTCCCGACTGGCTACAGGCCCCATCTCCAGGCTGCGAAGTGGAATCTCTAATTTAAACCTGCATTTCCGGCGTAGCAGCAGAAGAGATCGAGACCAGCCCCATCGCTTCCATCCACTCCGTCATCAGCATCATAAGCAAACAGACCACCAACACATCATGGCCGCTGCTCCCCCCTCCACGGCCATTAATATAAACGGCGTTGCTATCCCTCCACGTACCTCGTCCGCGCACTCAACCTCTTATTCTCCGCCGAACCTCTCTAAGACAGCAGCGTCCCGCTCTGCTCCTGACTCTGCCCCTGACCATCGGCCGTCAGCAACAACCAACGACCACACCCAGCCGTCAATCCCGTCCGGCCCGTACCCTCCTCCCGCGCACCACCACACGCGCCACCGGAGTCGCAAGGCGTCATTTACCACTCCCGCGCTTTCAAACACACCGGCCTACTCCCAACAACCAATCCCCAGCCTCAGCATGTCCCTCACGCCGCAACCTCCCCCTGACCCGAACCGGTTCGCGACCGAAGAGTTCCTCGCGCAGATTCATAAGCGGCCTTGGCCTGAAGACAAGGAGAAGGTCCTCACAGGGCCGTTTGACTACCTCAATGGACACCCCGGCAAAGATTTTCGGACAGCGCTGGTGAAGGCGTTTGATGCCTGGCTGGAGGTGCCGCCCGAGAGTTTAGAAGTTATTACTCGGGTAGTGAGCATGCTGCATACAGCGTCGTTGTTGGTTGATGACGTCGAGGATAATAGTCAGCTGCGAAGAGGGTATCCCGTCGCGCATGCGATCTTCGGCGTGCCGCAGACGATTAACAGCTCGAATTATGTTTACTTCCTGGCGCTGCAGGAGCTGCAGAAGTTGAAGAATCCTCGTGCAGTGTCTATTTATGCCGAAGAGTTGGTCAACCTGCATCGCGGACAAGGAATGGACCTCTACTGGCGCGACTCGCTGGTCTGTCCGACCGAAGACGAGTACCTCGAGATGGTCGGCAACAAGACGGGCGGGCTGTTCCGGCTGGGGATCAAGCTAATGCAGGCGGAGTCTCGCAGTCTGATTGACTGCGTGCCGCTGGTGAATATCATTGGGCTGATCTTCCAGATCGCGGATGATTACCATAACCTGTTCCATCCGACGTACACGGCGAATAAGGGCATGTGTGAGGATCTGACGGAGGGGAAGTTCAGTTTTCCGGTGATTCATAGCATCAGGGCGAACCCGAACGACCGGACGCTGCTGAGTATTTTAAGGCAGAAGACTACGGATGAGGAGGTCAAGCGGTATGCGGTTAAGTATATGGAGGGAACGGGGAGCTTTGAGTACACGCGGCGCGTGGTTGATGTGTTGATTCAAAGGGCGAGGAAGATGGCTGATGAGATTGATGATGGGAGGGGGAAGGCCGGCGGGGTGCACCAGATATTGGACCGGATGGTGATCAAGTATGATGAGAGATGACAATGGTTTGGGTTTATGGATTTAAGCTATGATTCTTTGGCTTGTTTTCTATGGCTGTATCATGAGGCATGTATCGAAGACATGATGATATCCTCCGTTGTTGTCCATCGGTTTAGGCTGGCTGGCTGGTCGATTGCTTTTGTCGAGGATCAGGGGAATGGATGGCATGGCATGGCATGGACATGTACCTGGATGATGATCTACCTGGGAGGGGTACTAGTTTCAATCGCATCACGGCGTTGACAAGGTATGCGGTCTTAGTAAAACGAAAAAAAAAAATTCCAAATCAATTCGCAATGGGTATTCATCCAAATCTAGTCCCTCTATCCAAAAAATTCCCAGTTTCTACCACCCCTTCGATTCCATGATCTCCATTGCCAGTATCATGGTTTCTCGATTGCAGAGAAGATATCCTGTAACGATGCCTTGAACAACAAACCGCAGCCTCTCCTCACCTTCTGGATTCCCCCTTTGGAGCATATCGATCGTCTCATTATAGATACGGTCCGCCTCTTGTTGATCCCGCCCCCGGAGCATCCGCAGGCAATAAGGAACGCCTATCTTCTTCCAGGTAGGCCTGCCCCAATGCGTCCACAAAGCAGAGCCTACGTCCCAGATCAGCGAGAGTCGCTTGAAGCGTCGGTTCTGGCGGGGCTTGTAAGTGATCTGGCGGAGGAAGTGGCCGACCTTGCTTTGATTGTCGGCCATCCAGGAGGTCAGATAGTAGTACCGGAGGTTATGTACGACCGGTTCGGCGAAGTCGAGGACGTTCTCTGTTCGCTTGAGCAGAGACTCCTGCCACTTGGCTGGCATGAGACAGAAGGGGAATGAAAGCAGCCCCGGGATCCAGATGGGGCGACGATCGATGCTATGGTAAGATTGGACGTTAGCATACATAAGACCACGATTCAACAGACCAGACTCTGTCTGTAGTTGCTGAAGGGGGAGGAAGGGGGGGGGGGGATAAACACGGCGTCAGGTTCGCTCGTTCCTACGTGTTGTATTCTTAATCATTAGTAGCATCACATTGAGTCTGTGTCCACATGATTATTCACACTTACATGTCCTCCGCCTTCCGCTTCACCGTCCGAACCCACCTACGCCTCCTCCAGTTACCCCTCCTCCCCGCACCTTCATCGTCCTCCGCCTCCTCCCAACTGGCCTGGAACCCTCCGGGAACCCTCCTCTGCTCCGGCCCACGAGCGCTCCCATTTGCCAAGCCTCCCTCTTCAGCAAGATCCTCCTCACCACTGTTGTTAGGCTGGTTGGGAGGAATGAGATCATAAACCCACCTCTCACCTTCAGTCTCGACCTCAACGCTAGTGATGATCCGCTCCTCGACCCACTCCCGGGACCACAGATCCAACACCCACTTCTTGTCGGCCCACTCCCAGCCCTCGGGCGGAAGCACGTCCTCGAAAAAGCGCTCGCCCTTAGGACGCTCGCCAGCGAGACGGGCAGCTGAGAGAGGATCATATGGTGTTGGCGTGAAGAGCCAGGCCTCCCACTCGCCCGTGGCCGGGTCCTTGCGTTGGAGTTCAAACACCTCGACTTCCCGGGTCTCGGGAGGGGAGTCGAGCTTGATGTCCGACTTGACGCGTTCCACGAGCTCGGCTGGGGAGGGAACTTGAATGGGGACCAGACCGGTCGATTTGCCCTCATTGGTGTTATCGCCATTTCGGGCCTTTTGGCCGTCCTTATCGCCGTCAGTCTGGTCCTTCTGGCCGAGGAACTGCTGTGAGAGCCGGCCAGCCCAGCGCCGGACCCATGGGTTGAGCGACAGGATGCCAGCCCAACCAGCAATCAGAGCAATAAACCTGATGGGGATCTTGTCCCCGAAAGCCAGCACGAACAAAAGCCCAGCGACACTCCAAACAAAAACCGCCGACGAGAGTGCCTCGTCCGAGAAGTTTATCACGGGCAAAAAATGGTCGACGACAGCGTCATGGACGTTACTAAGGTCGTCCATCATGTTCTGCAGCCCGCCCAAATTCTGGAGGAAGTCTTTGGACGTTTCCTTCGTCAGGGCTACTGTTGGCGCTGGTGCCAGGGGCGGGCCTCGAGGCGAGAAGCCGACGCTGCGAAGACGGTCGGTGTCCGACATTGGCGCCGGGTGACGCGCAATGAACGAGGGGACAAGGATGCCAAAAATGATGATGGAGAACGGAAGGGCGAGCAAAAGATACGGCCTGAGGCAAATCAGCGTATAAACCGCCAGGAGTGACCAGGTCTCGGTTGGCCGATCCCACGCCAGCACGCGCTGTACGCGGGCCTGGAACTTGAACAGAACCCCAACTCGCGCATTGAAGCGCAAGAAGTTGTTCATCATTAAACTAAGAGAAAACGCAGGGCGATCCGGGAAGAGCGGCGACGGGATGTCACCCGGCGGAAGTTCCAACGGGACCATCTGGGTAAGCAACCTGCGTGTGTGTTAGTCGGGGTCGCAGTATGGGACACTCTTCTCTGAATAGGGATATACTTCTCCAGCATTTTGTCTTGTAAAGAAACCGCTCTTACTAGACCATCCCGGATGGCCCGTGCCTTAGAGGATGTGTCCCCTTCTTGTTGTGCTGACTGCTGCAGCCGATGAGCGTCTGGCCGATGCTCATTTTGAGCATTGCTTTCACGATCGCGAAGGGTGCTCTCGTCGACCGCGTACTGTACTCCTGTCGCAAATTCGTCCATATTCAAGAAGAAATTACTGTTCGAATGGAAGCAGAGTTGGCGAGTTCGATGAGTGTGTGAGTGTGGTTTCTGGAGACGACGGATGATTTGGCTTTGGCAAAGAGGAGAGCTTGTCTTGAAACTTATATATGTATATATATATTAGATCAGCTCAGGACCGCTCAGACCCCTCTAGTTGAGAGAGGTAAGCAAAGGCAGTCAATGTTCATCGGTTTACTACTGTATCTGCATCATCATGAACTTTAATGATGTCTGTTGTGTGCCCAAGCTGACTGTGGTTCGTCTGCCTCTCGCACCTGACATGTGAGCGCCTGGGCTCGAGCGTGTCACCTATCCAGCGCCAAGAAGCCGGTACGTACCGCATATGGGACAAGGCGCCACACAGCTGCGGTGGCTGTCCAAGCAGATCGGCGTTGGTGCTGTGGCTGTTTCTCAGCAACGTCAACTTTCAATGCAAGGGGAGGAGGTGTGACAACAATGCCCATCACCAGAACAGTCATTTCGGCAATATGTGTAACTACTCTAACTATTACACGGAAATTGCATCCCTCCCTCATCAGATCTTGGGGCTGGCCTTGCGTTCCAGATTGGCGGGACAAACAAGAGAGGCTAACGCAGAGATCGCATACACCAACAGATGTGACCACGGGCAATTCCAGAGACATCCGCTGCACCAACCTGCTGTCATCTGCTGTCTAGTGTTGCAACATTCCCGGTCGAGTGAGTCTTGCTCCTGCTGACAGCCGTCATCAGAGCCGTCCATGCAGACGGGAAGCCCAAACTGAGCCTTGGAACGTGGAAAGAAAAGACCCACCCTGCCGACTGCCGATTCTTGGGGGGGGGGGAGACCGTGAATGGTTCGCAGACAGCAGAGACACAGAGTGCAGATGCAGATTGTAAAGATAAGTTAAGATACTTTGCTGGGTCTGACACAACGCCGACAGCGTGCGACAGATTTTAGATTAGCCTTAGGTTCTCGTCGCGTTCTGTGTCACATATCCGGCATGTCCGCAGTGATATATTACAGCGCGGGAAGCATCTGGCACCTCGACGTCACATTCGCCCGACCTTATGAGATTTGGAATGGTTGCTGGTTGCCGAGGCATTCGAAACATTTTCTCGAATATGAGCCTTTAACGCAGGGGCATTAAGCAAACAACCCGCATGGGGCCTGTTCGACGGGCGCGCCAACCACTCAAGATACGACAACGGCTAGTGAGAACCAGGGAACCCAAGCCATCAACACGATTGCATCGGCACACGACGGTACAACCCCCCCCCTTTTTTTTTTTTCTATCGCCGCCACTGCTGGCATGGCATCGCTGGCACCTCAACAGACACGACAACAGCGGGCTGGCCGGTAGGATGGTTCGAATGGCTGGGCTGCATGAATGCAATTTCGGGCTGTGCGGACAACGCGTGTTGTCTCTCTCCGCCGATGAGCTGGCGATTTTGTCCAGGGTAGCATATGTATGGCTGCCGTAGTCTGCTGTAGCGTGCTGCTTCTACGCTCCCCGCCATTGTGATGGTGAATTTTTGCAGATTTATGGCAGAAAAAGATCTCTGGCTAAGGTTGGCTGCTCCGGCCTTGAACCCCACATCAAACCCCTGGGTCTGAATGAGGCGGGGAGTCGGTGCTGGCCGTTCTCTCCTGCCCTCGCCTGTCATTTACTGGCTGTCCTGGCTCGTTGCTCAGTAAGCAGCCGGTTGTCCCCTGCCACCAGCGTGGATCGAGGGCCCACTTCCGTCGTGACTTTCTGTCGGTCCCAGAAGAGGGTTCCATGTTGCAAGAGGTCGCAAGAGGAAGGCGGACAGCAGTCTGGTCTGGGCTGACAGCCACTGGCTGTTTGCACGAAGAGACCCACCCAGCCCAGCCCACTGGCAACAGGCCGTCCGTTGCCGCTGTTCGACCGCCAAAAACATGCACTACAGCCCTGGGGGGCCCAGCCCAGCGAAACAACCGGTGTCCATCCTTCATTCTTGCAGCAGTAGCAGCACTGAGCAGAAGCAGCACACCAGCACACCACCTCGTGCCCTGTGCCTCAGGTTGCGCCTTTGCCTTGTGTTGAAGGCTCGCCCACCTTGTCGGCGACCGACTTGCTCGCAGCTCGCACAGCTTGCAGCTCATCGCAACCTCGCATCCTGAATCCTCCTCACCCTCGCGGATCGTGGACCCTAAAAAGCCCAAGGCCCTAAAGCAGCTTGTGCTTGGCCCACTCTCCGCCTTTGGCCGTGTGCTGGTTCGCTGCCAACTCAACACCCACCCAGCAATTCAACTCTCAACTCACCTCCTCATCCAGGTCGACGGCCCTTGTTTCTCCTTCTCCACGTCCCCATCTGAAACAGTCCCGTTGATGCAGCGCCCTCCGGAATGAGGTAGCTTCTCGATTGCTCTCAGCTCCCTGACCGGACTGAGCCCTTAGCCCTTCACGACGACAAGGTTGTCCATCCTGCCAAAGGCGAAGAAGTGCTCTGGCCCCCTCCCCCCCCCGGTTTCCCGTTGATTGCGGCGCCCGCGTCTGCTCCGCCAGATCTCGAGACCCGCGAGAAGCCCAATCGACCCATCTGCCCATCTGCTGCGTTCTCTGCTGCACCGCTGACACGCCCGTCGACACGCTGTCACGCCGACTTTGCTGTTAGGGCCTGTTGCCCGACCTCCACACCCATCCTCACATTCCTTTGGCTCTGCTCTGCCGTCCCTCGTTGCTGCATCCCGACGACGCCCTCTGCCGCGCGCCGTCCCCTATGAACAGAGAACATCTTGACCCCGCTGGCCCCATACGGGATTCCCAGTCTCCTACAAGGTACGGAATACAGGAACACGCGCACACACATACCGCGCACACCGCGCATACCGCACACACCACGGAGTGCGGCTCCCGCCCAATTGCTTGCAGCCCGGCAATCGTGGCTCAGAGTTACATTGAGCCTTCCTCGCGTCCGACCCTGACCTTGGCTGACCCGCGTTCCTTGCTTCTGCAATCCAGGACAGCATCGAATGCGAGTCCCACCCGCATCAGCTCCCTTCGCCGACCTACCATCACCGACGCCCCGATGCTCAGCGCTTCGTCTTCCAACAATCACTCTTTATTTTCCTTTGGCGGCAGAAACAACCGGTCCGACAATGTAAATAATAACGGCACCAGCGACTCCTTCGATTTTCTCCCATCCGTCAGCTTCGACGACCTCCAGACGAGCCTCGAGTCCGCCTCGGCCGACTTCAAGCTGACCCAGTTCCCCTCGCCCACAGGCCAGGGTACCATTCTCGGCGACCACGCCCTCGACACCATGGGCGAGCGTTTGGACACGACTGCCAAGCGCAATATTGCGAGCAGCCATTCAACTACGTCTCAGCCAGCCCTGGGGACGCGGTCCCGCGCCGGCTCCCTCCTGCGCAGACCTAGCACGTCTGGCAGAGCCGTGGGCAGCAGCACCGCGTCGACATCCACGACTACTTCAAACCCTCCTCCTATTTCGGCAGTGACACGCGCTCGTCGCGCCCAAAGCCATTACCCGCCCGTCTCGGGCTCTCACATCGCCAAACCGCCCAGGAAGTCGACTGGAGATGTGGTGTTGGGAGGGGATATTGAGACGCATAGGCGCCGGGGCAGCATTGCCTCGCTCACAGACAAAAACGGGCTGGATCTACCACGAACCTCCATCGACAGTGGCTCACGGCCGCTTCCCGATGCTGTCCGAGCTCAGGCCGGCTCGCGGACCGCAAAGGCCCGGTCCGTTCAGCCTACGGCGAGGTCGAGTCAGCCGACACTTACCGCAGAGACCACCACCTTGGCTGCTCCTGAGACAACACATCTTTCCACCTCTCTGCCAAGGTCACCGAGGGTAGTGTCCAAAACATCCCATCCGGCCTCTGCTAAGCGCATCTCTGTCGTTCCAGGCGTCCTCCCGCCCCACGCTACCGGCCTAGGTGCTCGAACGATTAGCCCGACCGATGCGAAGAGATTGAAACGTTTATCCATGCATCATTCTCAGATGACCGGCAGCAATGCGCTGCCGAACCCCCCGCCATTAGCAGCGTCTCTGGATCGTCCTTCGTCGCGGTCGCCCTCGATGTTGCCGCGCAAGATATCGACCCCGTCGTCTTCGACGAGAACGACTCCCGATCCAAGTAGAAAATCTTATAGTTCTGGTCTCTCGGCCAATTCCAGCTCCAGCGTTAATAACACGGTAACCGTCCGGACGTCGACCCAATCTCTCCAACAACGGCTCTCCTTGGCGGCTTCTCGCTTGCCTACCCCCAAGGTCCTTGGTCTCGCCGCTCTCGGGCACGACCTGGAAGACGAGGACGTCCCTCCCGTTCCCGCGATTCCTAAGGCCTTTGAATCGCCAAGAGACCCGCTCGCTCCGGCCCCCAAGCTCGAAAAGAGGAGTTCGAACCGCACCTTTGATACGAGCAGCATTCATAGCAAGAGCTCGACCAGCAGTGTATCCGGGACTCAGCCGAGCGAGACGCCCGCTCACAAGCTTCAGCGTCGTCCCAGCCAGCGCAAGTCAATTCACACATCCAAGCTGGACTTGGATACCAAGCCTATCGCCGCGCCAGCGAGGAAGACCCTGCAGCCTCTGCGGCTTCCGCCTCTCACGCTGAATCCCCTCAACACGCCGACCGCCGCCAAGATCGCCGCGCTCCAGGAACAAGCTGCTTCATCCGACAGAGACAGAGACAATGTCTCACCACCGCCCACCAAGACGATTCCTAAGACCCCTACTACCCCTATGACGGCCTCCAAGAGCACCTTTTTCTCGAGAAGGTATAACGACGATAAGTTCGACGTCCAGCACCTTAGGAGTAGTAGCTCGGTACATCGGCTCCGGCGAGATACCCCTCCTCCTTTGCCCGAACCACAGAGCTCTTCTGAGTCCTTTAGCGCCGTCCACGAGCCGACTCCAAGGAGTGGACCATCCCCATTCCTCAGCTCCTCTGTGCCGAAGGGAGGAAATGTCGAAGCTGCCTACCTAAAACGGTCTAAGACGGGTGGTGATATCTCGGTCGATACGACCTCTGAATCCCCGGTCCATCAGCAGCAACACGTTTCTCATCATCAACACAAGCCGTCCGATCCTCGTCCGCCGAAACAAGCAGCTCCGCAACCTGCGAAGTCCCCGCCCCCACTGCCGAGCCCGGATGAGCCGCAAACGCCATCATCCATGAGCTCCCTCAGGCGGAAGCTTAGCCTGTCCTGGAAGCGCAATAATTCGAAGAACAGTAGCGGTCAGATTCAGACGGAGAAGACTAGCGAGACAAAGACCACGAAGCACGAGTCCATGCCTCCTCCTCCTCCGCGGATTCCCGTCTCGGCTACAGTTGGCTCGATCCCGGCCGTGCCCAAACCCCCAAGTCCCACGAAGTCGAGCATCACGACCTCGAACTACTTGGATGCGCGCAGGCGGAAGAGCTCGTCTTCAAGCTTACACGCAATCATGGCAGAACAGCGCGCTCGGGGCGAGGGCTTGACTGCGGCCAAGAAGGATTCAACCCTGGAATCTGTGGCTGAGCGCGCGACTGCCCTTCACAACTCATCCGTGGTACAAAAGATTCTGAGGCCCAAGGCGTCGGCGCCTGTTATGAAGGACGACGATCTGTGGGTTCCTGAGTATGATAAGGAGGACATGCTTGCCGAGGAGGAAATGAGGAAGCTTGGCCTGCGCCGCAAGGATACAGAAATTGCTGCTCGAACGCTGGATGCCCTTCGGAAGCGGGCGACACCTAAAGAGCGTGTCAGCCCCCAGGAAGCCATCCGCATTGCCATGCTCAATGTGTATGAGCGCGGGGAGATCGTGGACTACAAGGACATCTATTTCTGTGGTACTCAGAACGCGAACAAGGTTGTGGGTGATGTTCAGTCCAACTTGCCCAACCATGGCTACGACGACGAGCGCGGCGATTACACCATCGTGCCTGGCGACCATTTGGCTTATCGCTATGAGATCATTGACCTCCTGGGTAAGGGAAGCTTTGGTCAAGTCGTTCGCTGCATCGACCACAAGACCGGCGTGCTCGTGGCCGTTAAGATTATTCGCAACAAGAAGCGGTTCCATCAGCAAGCGCTCGTCGAGGTTAACATTCTGCAAAAGCTGCGCGAATGGGTATGTTGCTTCAGAACGGTGTTGGTGGTACTCTCTCGCTAATGAAGCGCAGGATCCGCATAACAAGCATAGCATGGTCAACTTCACTCACAGTTTCTACTTCCGCGGCCATCTCTGCATCTCTACCGAGCTTCTGGACATGAATCTTTACGAGTTCATCAAGGCGAATTCCTTCCGTGGCTTCTCGCTTAGGCTGATCCGCAGGTTTACCAAGCAGATTCTCAGCGCCCTCAATCTGCTCAAGAAGCACAGGGTCATCCACTGTGATCTGAAGCCCGAAAACATCTTGCTCCGCCATCCTCTGCACACAGAAATCAAGGTCATCGACTTTGGCTCCAGCTGCTTTGAAGACGAGAAGGTTTATACGTACATTCAATCTCGCTTCTATCGCTCTCCTGAAGTTATCCTTGGCATGACCTATGGCCTGCCTATCGATATGTGGTCTCTCGGCTGTATCCTGGCTGAGCTGTACACGGGGGTGCCCATCTTCCCTGGCGAGAACGAACAGGAACAGCTGGCTTGTATCATGGAGGTTTTCGGCCCGCCGGAGAAACACCTGATCGAGAAGTCGACACGTCGGAAGTTGTTTTTCGATAGCATGGGCAAGCCGCGTTTGACCGTCTCCTCCAAGGGCCGTCGGCGCCGTCCGTCCTCCAAGACTCTCCAGCAGGTGCTTAAGTGCGACGATGAGGCGTTCCTGGACTTCATTGCTCGTTGTCTCCGCTGGGATCCTGAGCGCCGCATGACCCCAGAACAAGCCATCCACCACGAATTTATCACGGGCGTCAAGCCTTCTATCCCCCGAACGCTATCTCCCGCCAAGCGTGTTCCGAGCCTGACTTCGACTCATGGGCCACGCCCTTTGCCCGAACCACCAACACCTGCCAAGCCGTCTACGCTATCCCACCGCATGCGTGAGCAGAAAGATGAAAAGGAAGGCTCAAAGCACCAGCACACCGGATCCGGTTCCTCGACCGGCCCCGGCCCGCTCAAGCCGGCCGTCATTTCCTCGTCGTCCTCACGCCGTGTCTCAGGCATGACTGCCACTACCATCGGGACCTCAGGCACCGTCGGGACCATCAGCGGCACCACGCTTGTGGGAAGCAATAGCGTTAAGCGTACCCCGTCTCACACCTTTCACACTTCACACCATACGCACAACTCGTCCAGCTCGACGGGCTCGCTCGCCTCGACCGGCGGCATAACCAGCGTGCCCAGCAACAGCAGCCTGCCGCGCGCATCTCTCAGGAATGCTGGAGGCGGTCTGTCGACAAGCGCTAGCGTGCAGACCCTCAACGGCGGGTCTTCGTCATCGGGCGCAACAGCCACACGGGGCCACGATCTTGCTGCTGCCGGAGCGTCAGCTGCTATGGGCATGACCGGCACAGCTGCCTTGGGTCGGAGAGCGTAGGATGCCAACTCCGGTCGGGTAGTTGGCGGTCAGTACCATCGACAGCAGCCGCAGCCACAGGTTCCGCAACAGTCGCGAAAGAGAGAACGTGAGCACGACAGCGAACAGCAGCAGCTATCTACCGGGAGGGGTTGTGGGTTCGGCTTTCGTGGGCGCCAGGGATCCAAAAGGCACAGTCAGGTTCAGAGCCACAGTTTGTGTCAGGGCCAGAGTCAGCAAAGAGTTGTTTCATTACTTCGGGCGCCCGTGCCTAGGCCACTGCCGGCTTCACCTGCTGGTGTTACGCCGGGCTTAGCGAGGTATGTTGGTGTATCGAGGAAGGCGCGTGAGAAGGGGGGGATGGGGGTTCGAGTGGGGAGTGTGTTGTAGTTGTTTTTGGTGTGGGCAGTGTTAGGGGTGAGGAAAAAGAGAGGTTTGTTGCGAATTGGGGAGGGATGTTTCAAAAGGAGAGTGGGTGATGATGAGTTACATATAAGCATTGCATTCTTGTCCTGTTGCGAAGTCCATTCTATTACTACATACGTACGTCGGTGGTACACTAATGATGATTTTGATACACAAAAAGAGAGGAACAATCAGGGATGGATCGGAGAGGGGTTTTTTCAAGGGTGATGAATTGGTTGGTTTTTTTTTCTCTTTTATTAGAGGAAGGGAGAAAAGATGGATGGCTGTCAGCGAGCATGGATGGAAGCAAAAGGATCAGGAGTGATTGGTGCCGCTTTTTCTTACTCTCCCTCACTTATATGCGTCCCATGTATTTTTATCTGCCCCTGATGAAGGTGTACCCTGGCGTGTGCTGGTGTGTTCTTGATTTCATGTTTCTTGGCCTTTACATTTTTTTTTCTTTGCCCCTTTGAGTGTTACAGTCTTCGCAGCATTGTTATGGCATGAGAAACGGACGGCTGTCGGAGTGGTCGGGTCCTGAAGCATTACCACATCCTCACTTTTTCCACTAATGGTTTACTGCATCTTTGTCGGTCCTTGTTTTGCTTGCTCGTTTGGCTTAGCTGGTCGTCAAAGTGGTGATGGTCGTGGATGGAAGGAACACGGACGGTGATACCACTGGCAGTTGCACTCCTTTTTAGGTCTATTGTTGTTCGTTTGATCTTATTGCATTCCTACATCATTGCCCAAGTTATCCTCGTTGAGGAGTCTCTCCGTCTCTGTTGCAGGTCCCTACGTACAGTTTTTGGTGCGGAAGGCGTGGTCTGGCATATCAATCTCTTTTATCACATAGAAAAGAGGCGAGAGGTTTTTGGGGTCCATATATGTAACCATGCATACATAGGCCATTCATAACAGTGGGATTTCCATTAGACACTCCTTACATCGAATCGTGTCCAGTTTATTTTTAACTATCCTTCACAGTCTCCTTGGCCTTGAAGACTTGAAAGTACTATCGGAGGTATCCTTCCCTCAACCTCTCTTTCCTGTTCATTGTTTTATCTCTCAACCTTGGGCAGATTGCTTCCAATCTTCACTGGACACGAGGGTCCAGGAGTTCAGAGAACATAAACATATCAGCCAAGGCATCTAAAAGAACGCAGAGGTCAACAAGAAGGGGGGTTGGGTTTACGTTGACTATTACGAGTATAAGGGTTCTGTACACAACTAGGCCATTTGCAGGTCACAAAATTGTTCCAGCTATCTGTGCCTCTTGAGTGCAAAACTGGATATCTTCAGAGCATAATAATATCCAAACGAAACCTAGAAGTCGGCTTACCCGTGCGACTGGCATCTCCCACGAAAACCCAAGGCCCAAGAGGTTGAGAGCCAGATATGGGTCTCCTTGTGCCGCCGAGTGTAACCAAGCCTCTTGTCTGATTTGTGGATCATGTCGGCAAGTGTCTCCCATATCGGTATACTTGTTTACCGTATCTTAGCGTTCCGCCGTCATGGGCCTCGTCAAGGCGAACTATAGCCGACAACACACATATCTGGAACATATTCATTGTCCTATCCGATTTGCCCTGCTCATGAAACTCACTCGTGGATACAAGGTAAGGCGTGAGCAAGGTCAACTTGCTCTCATCCAGGCAGGAAGGAAGGCGGGCACTGCCACGCCGTACCGGACTTTAGAGCAGAAGTGTCCGAAGGGGACGTATTGCGCATGGGAGACAAGCGGTTGTGAGACGTAACCACACGCCCAGATAGTTCGTAACCCGTATCTGTAGTTAATTAGTGCTTGACTGCGTAGGTAAGACTATTAGTATGGTCTTTTGATCCTCTGCTTGCTGCTTGCCAGGCCAAGGGTGTGATGAAAAACTTAGGGCTTCAGGACCAGAGCCCAGGGCGATCGGGCGTTCTGTGGCGTCTTGCATCCACGCCTGGCCCGCTCGTGTCTCAACCTTATACGAGATGTTTTCTCGCAGCATCGATGTTGGGTTCGTTGAATGGTTCACGATTCTAGATCCAACCATTCCAGTTGAGTCAAGAAAGTGGTTGACTCAGCCGGCGATAGTCTGGCAATCGGTGACGGCCGGGATTGAGGCTAAGCAAGTTAAGAACAAGACAAAGTTCAAGGAAATCGGGAACAAGCAAGTCTGGAACCTAGAACTTTGCATGACTGTTTCTCACTTGTTGGGACCTGAAACTCCAGGACGGAATCATGTGAACGGTGAAGAATGGCTGTCTGGTTGCTTAGGCAAGGCAAGGCAGGACGGTCCTGGGACCCAGTTTGGCCCTACGACTGGAGGACAGTTTCCTAATGAAGCAAGGCAGACCAATCAAAGGCGCCAATTCCAATCCTCCGCGATGCCCCTCATCTTCCAGTTCTTGAGTCTCTGTTTGCATACTCGTTGCTGTTCTCAGCGTTCTCAGCTTGCTACTACTACACACTAATGCTTACTTGCATTAAGTCCTATCACTTCCGATAGCTATTTTCTTGGCTCCCGACGGCGACCCCGTGGCCCAGTTCATGTCAGAACCATTCTATTTGCTGTAAACTTTGGCGAAGAGACGGCTAGCAAACCTGACGGGCCTACCCCAGCTAAGATGCGGATGACTTGGGGCTGTGTCTATCGCTCCCGACTTCTGGGCTCTCCTCCGCCCAATACCCGCAATGAGGGCCCACAACGCCGTGCCCTGCGGCTCCTCCGGAAGACTGATGGTGGGGCCCCGACCTAGTCGGGCTGATTGGCCGGAGGCCGGTGAGCCTTGGCCCCCGAACTGTGAACGTTGGGGGGGGGCAGTTTCCCCGGACCCTGCTGCTTGGCATTGGTTGCTGACAGCGACACTGTTTCACAAGTCACCGGAGGAGAGCAAATATCGCTTGATCAAGAACATGTTGCGGTGCGAGATCTGTCGATGACCCTGCTGTACGAAGTGAGGCTGATTATCAGGCACAGTGTGCTGAATTGGAGATGGCAGAACAGTATTGAGAATGTACAAAACATGTCAGCAAAATCCATAGTCTGCTACACCGAGATGGAGTTCAGACTGTTTCAGTACTCGGTAAGCGAGAGCATTTCAGTCCAGATTACCCAAGAGGGCGGTTCTTGAGAGAGCATGGGGCAATGTATGGATTCCGTGCGCGATGACGAGCTGCAACATGTTGTGTTACATGGTTCAACTGTTTCCCCAGCTAAGAGCGCAATGCCACAACAAAACAAGCAATAAACGGGGCTTTTATCAGAATGCAGTTGAGGACAGCAGTGTGGTTCACCCGATCGCAGATCGACAGGGGCAAAGTCAACTGTCCCCCGGCCAACGAGGCGAACTGCGGTGCTGAATGGTCAGGCTGTGTGGCTGTTCCCTTTCTAGAACAACCTTGCCCAGATTTGATGTGCAGAGTCAAATCCTTTGACTGAGGCAGAGCGCTCGTTGGCCAATTCCAATGGCTAAGTGTTTTGCAATCCATTGAACTAGTATTTTGATCCTAGGAGGGAGAATCGAGGTCTCCTGACATGACTACGCATCACGGGATCTCACATGACAGGATTTGACAATCGGAAATTTCAACCTCCGTACTAAAATCTACGATTGGTACCACCATTTTGAAGTACTGGTGCACGCTCAGGACGGCTTGCACATTCGATTTTACTAGGTCAAAGGATTTGTGCCATTTCAATTACAGCCAATGGATACCGATGAGGCCTGCTTGTTCGAAGTTGTTAAGCTTCAAGGCAAAGACCCTTGTGCTTACGCTATAGCTAAGCTTTCACCCAGTACGAGAGGGCGGAAGGACTCTCTTGGCAACCGTTTTGATCGATGCCATCCTGGGACAAGCTCAAGCTTGGTCGCATCTTTGACCTGGCCCCGTCGTAGGCCTGGTCAGATCGTAGGCCATCGGACCCCGCCTGGCCGGGCCAGAAGATCTCCCGGCCGCCATCCAGGTCAGGTGTATACGAAGTGACGCACGCCCCTCCAGGTTTTTTGAATTCTTGGGACACTGAATCCTTCCGGTGGCCCCCATTTTCAGCAATGGACACTCTCGCCTCGCCGGGGAGGGCGATGCCGCGTCACCCGTTACATCTTGATGGCAGAAACCGCAATCAAGACTTTTTTTTTCCAGATCATTCTTTCTGTGCCCGGCTCGAGAGTGTTGTCTCCTGCCTGTGTCCTCCTTCTTGGTGATTAAAGACCCCGCTGTCATAACGTGGGGCTGCTTGCGGGATGCCCAGAGGATTCGGCGCTAACCCACCCAGGCCCCGCAATGGGCTGATGCTTCGAAGCTTTAACTCTTTCTGCCTTCTCGATAATCTCAAGCGGTGCAGTCTTGGTCGCCTCGGACTGAGTGTTGTGGAGCTTCGAGTGCCGGATACGATCCTCGCTTGGGAGGGGCCATTGAGAATGACCGACTGGACACGCCCAAGGTGACATCATGCCTCAGGTAGGCCGAATGCAAGGCTGAGATGGAGCATACATTGACCGGGTCCCTGCTCGCAAAAAAGTTGGATGCGAATACCGAGCAACCACAGCAGCGATGCCGACCTCGGTAGACGCCAGATCGGTGCGACTCAAGTGGTACTACCTACTGCCCCAGCGTCTGTAGTAAGACC